ATTTCCAACTTTCTGTACACTAATTCCCTGAACATTTTTGCTCATTCCCTTAGCTTTAGAGTGATGATAGACATTAGACGCATGTAGTGCAAATACTTGCTCATCAACCCTTCATGGTAAATGATAACGAAAGGTGGAACCATACCTTCTCTACTTCCTACAACCTAAAACACGACGCCGTCGGTGGCACCTTTTAAACCATTTGGCTCCATTAAGTTTTACTTTCCATCGAACTTTTTTTGCGAACTCAGAGGTTGGTCCATGTACCACCCACGTAAGACATTAGCCGTGCTCGCACAGAAATGGAACTCTTGCCAGGAAGTTAATAAGAGTGAAGGTTGTAGCGTGTTCTGATGACTGAACTCGTACACATGTCACGTTACCGGCCGCGAGTGGCGCCGCGGGGCTATTACAGGACGGTTCTGTCTTCTGAAGTCTCTCAGTTTTTTTTTAGTGCCTTGAGACACGGATTTCAATCAAGTCAATTTTCATTCAGGGGAGACCGTAGACGGCTGTATGTGAGTTTGGAATATAAAGCGCACAACCAGAAAGTTCCACACTAGTTTTGTAGCTACTGTAGGTACGTATAATATAAAGTGACTGGTCTGGGCGCCACACCACACTTATGTAACCGACGTGTGTTCTTTAACATGATCAATGTGTGGTGCTTTCCGTCCAACGTCTTGCTCGAGCTTACTTCCCTCCCGAACTGATAGGAAGACGGGATTACCATACACTACACCACGGCACACTAGATCATTGTGAAATACCTTTCTTTAGCCTTTCTAATACCTTTGGCATGCATAACATAACATACTGACACTGTACATGTATCATTTAGTTGTGAATAGGAATTAGATCACAGGAGAATGTAGTTTTGAATAGCAAATCTAAAACCACTGTCAGCATGACGCAAAAGCTGCGTCATAGTTGGATTGGACCAGATAAGAGGAGAAAGTAGTTTTGAAAAGCTAGTCTATAATCATTGTAAGAATGACGCAAAAAGCTACATCATAGTTGGGTGGAATTACTTTTTTGAATAGTCAGTCTGGAACTCCTGTAGACATGACCAAAGTGCATGTCTTGGGTATTTCTTCAATGGCCATTCTAAACCATTGTATAAATGACGCAAGACACGAGTCAAATGATACTAAATGTACCCTTCAAAACCTTTTCTTTTTATACTGTGACTTATGGGTTGAATGCTTCATTGAAACCACACCTTTTGCAGCCTACATACAATTTTAAAGTTTGGTAGAATGCATTCCGTACGTCTTAACACGTTAATAATTCATAAAAACTGTGTGGCGTATAATTGTATACCTGTGTATGTAAACGGTCCCCCTTAAATAAAAACAGGCAGAAAGGGCCCCTTGTTGGTCTTTTTCGTGTCCTCTCTAATGCCATAAGTAAGTTGTTGGGATCCAGAACTGAACGGGTTATCTGTAGTGCTAGGGACAGGTGACAATGTCTTTCTAACGGGTCGCATTCTTCTGTAACAAGGTCATACATATGCTCCCCAAATCTTGTTTTTTCCTCGTACTTTTCACATATTTGTAAAGATATTTTCTTATCCAACTATGGTGTTTAAGAGTATCATTAAAAATCTATTAACACTTTATGTGTTGTGTAGCGTATAGCAGCGAGTCAAACACACATCACCACTTATAGATTGCATAAACCAAGGAGCTCTCACAAGGGCTTGAAACTCCCTTACATAAACATAAACGTCCTAAAATCATTGAATTAGCTAGTTTGTACGTACCTAGTCATAGTTAAATATATCAGACATAAAGCAACAATACAAAGATCTTACCTGTCCTGTTCTGTATTGCTCTGGTCGTCACCAAGTTGGCGGTGTCTGTCCCGACGCGTCTGTTCTGTCCTTGGCGGCCGAAGTAAGGGTGGAACGCCCGAGTTATATGGACCCAGCCCGCCCGCGCTTTACGGAACTCTCTCGCGGTTTCCCTGGAGACCAGAACGTCACGCGGTCTGTCTGGCAGCTGATTGGTCAGTTGTACTCTCGCGAGATGAATTGTGAAAGATCATCGCTTGACAGCCCCCCTCATGTTCTTGTACCCGGTGTCAAGCCAAATACATGATCCTGCCAAATACATGACTCCGACACTACTTGAGGGTTTCCAACGTACCTATGACAAGGGGTGGGAGGGGTTTAGTCGTGATGTGGGAGACTAAACCTAACCTAACCCTAGCCCTGAACAATGATCCCAACTCTAACCCTAAGCCTAACCCTAACTCTAATACCAACCCTAACCTGAACCCTAGCCTGACCTCTCACGTATGTGGCAGCTCAAGGATTTGGCTCAACACCGGAATTGGGTGCCGCAAATGCCTTTTCATTCATAAATTGTTCTGCACAGTTTCGCATTGACAAAGCAGTAAAACTATCCAGACATGCCCCATTACGCAAGTAGGCCGTACTTGCTGCAATATCTTGCACATGAATTGCCTCCTCGCAAGAAAAATTGTTAGTGCGGGAAAGTCCGTTCAACGACACTTGAACAAGGCAGTTGCACAGAAAGCCTATTTAAATCGCACCTCCTAGCGAAACTCTGACTAACCTGCATCTAGTACGGTAGTATGAGCCACTGATACTGTGACTGTGATTGCGTTATAATTTTTAGAGCTACGTCTCACTTCAAAATCATTTAAGGAACTCTTTTGCATGAGCTTTCAAGGTCAAGTTCCTTTGATATATCATTCAACACACTGACTGAAGGTATTTCCTCTGGAGATAGAGGTGGGTTACACCGATTTGGGACATTTGCATGACAGAATGCGCATGTCTTACCATTTACTGTTATTGTTGTGCAGCTGACGTAACACAGGGACATATGTGGGGTCGTGTGGCGTAGCGGCAGAGTGCTCGACTCAGAATCAAGAGGTCCCGGGTTCGAGTCCTGACGTGCCACCGATCTTGTGCCCTTGGGAAAGGCACTTTCCTCACTTCGCTCAGGTGAAAATGAGTACTGTATTGTCCCCTGTGTTGGTGGCGGCATTAATATAACTTGGAAAAACTTGAGTGTGCCGTCACCACGTCTTGTGATTAGATGTTAGAATATGTATATGTAAAAAAGGACATCACAACATTTAGACAACGAGCGATCGCCATGACAACAGGGCCAGTGAGTGGTAGGGAAAAACCGGCGAGAGTTGGCAGATTTGCCTACCAATAATCTGCATATGTCTTCAAATAATTTGCATGTATATGATGTAAACAAAAGCAGCGTTCGATAATGAAGCTATATTATATGTTTGCATGAAATTCCACCGTGGCTTGTCAAAATACAAACTCAAGAATGATAATAATGCTAACCTTTTCCTCAAGTCACAGAGGGGGTGGGTACTAATTCAGGACCAGTAACATACTATGCAGTTAGCTATAGTGTCGAATCGTATACGGCTGTGTATCGTGCATGTATAGTGTCATCAGGGTGTCAAATCGGATTCACGGTAGTGTTTCCGCTATCTTTTAGCATAATACTGACTAGTTTAGGGCTATATCTATTGGTATGTCTTCTTTGTTTGTTTGTGAAGGCTGTATATGTCGTAAATTGTGAGTAAGATACAGAAACATCTAAGAAAAGGACGATTTTACCCACCTCTTGACACTTTGTCGTCCGACTCCCATGTTCTGAGGCAAAGGTCAAAGGTTACCTTGCCCATCTCGTACTCATGGTACTAACCTCGTCCCCAGGGCATCCGGTCATTATAAGGAAACCATGTTTTCAGCACCAAGGACAGGGCCAACATTAGTGTTAATAGGATGTAGACGTAGGTTAGAAAGGCTCCAAACGCCACAGTACTAGTAGTTTAAGGTATCAGCGTTGTGGAGGTATAGAATGTGTTTGATTGAAAAGATCCATCATTTTGTGGAATAAAACACACACACACACACACACACACACACACACATATGCCTTGTATTTATGCACTTATGTGTCAGTGGTAGCCGCTACCAGCCTTGTTGCTGCCTGGTTGCCACTTCTTATGCACTGTTGCATTTAAATAAACAAACAAACAAACAAACACACATACAGTTTCCCCCCTGCAACCCTGCTATTATTCTCTTCAACTTCAAGCATCGCCATCGGATAGTTCGTTGTACAGAAAGTTCCCGAGTGACTCTACTCAGCAGCGCTACCTTTCGGAGTTTCTTTGAACTTCAGGGTATCTTCCCTTAGTTCTACAGTAAATCAGTTGGCAAATCACACTAAGAACACAGACGTCTTTACGTTTAATAAGTTTAATAAGTCACAATACTCTTTATTCAACAAAGATATATCTTTATCCTTTTCCACATTCAGTATCATGGTAACTTAGCATGTTTGAAAGTCGATGAAAAAAAGAAATTCATCTAACAAGTTCAATATGGATTCTTGGGTTTCCGCTGTATTAAAATGGAATAAATGGACGATTCACTAATTGGAGGGGGTTTAAACAGTTTGTCAATTGTTTTTTTTATTCCAACATGTAATCACCAGACGTGGTGAGGGCACACTCAAGTTTTTTCAAGTTATATTAATGCCGCCACCAACACAGGGGACAAATACATGACAGGACGATACTCATGTTCACCTGAGCGAAGTGAGGAAAGTCGTGTAAAGTGCCTTTCCCAAGGGCACAAGATCGGTGGCATGTCAGGACTCGAACCCGGGACCTCTAGGTTTCAATGTGGTCGCATTGGTTTGTATGGGAATACAACGAGGTAGGTCTCAAAACGAACAGTAAACAACTACAAAGAATTAGACATAAATATTTAGATGTGAACGTTGTGTGGTTCATAGAAGTTCTGGTTTTCATTTTCTGGTGTGTCACCATTCCTTTTATCATAAAGGCGACTACATTCGAGAAGAAATAGAAGAAGTTGCTATGGCATTGTCCTAAAATGGATCTTGTGTATTTTATAGCTTTCAGTCCTCACCGTCCAACACTTTGTTCAACGGAAGCAAAATGCAGAACTCCATAATATCCCGACATCGTGTAACCCTTTATCGCTACATATAAATATCAAACAACGATAAATATTCTTATACAACTTTGTTAGAGACTATTATAGACAATTGGGACAAAGTTAATAGCATAGAATCGCCTCGAACTTCGCTGATGACTTAGTAGAGATCATCCACGACGCATGCGTATTCTGGAGTCAGTAAAGGCTTCGGTGGCGCTGGGCATGATGGGATAGCCACGTCACCAGCGGACCCTGTTCTCGGCCTTGCTGGGATCTCCCTGCAGAAAAGTAGATCGATAAACAATACAAGATTTACTGATACTGACTATGTGTTTCAAGGAAACACCTTAGACCTAAGGGACTATGGCATTTGTAGGTGGTCTGGAAATGGTTTCCTTGACCGGAGGTTTACCTCCAAATGTACTTACGCGGGGTCTCTCTGGAGAGAAATAAAACACAGGAAAAGGAGACGATTTACAGACTGTGCGTTTTAAAATGGCACGTTCGGGGCTCCCATATCTGCAAGCATCCCTGGCAGTCCATCCTTTATCACAGGTTTGCTTGAAGATGTATTTACCCAGGGTCTCTCTGGAGAGAACGAAACAACTGCAGGAACAAAGGTTTAACAGCTGTGCGTTTTAAAATGCACCTTTGGGAGTTAGTACACCTCCTGGCATCCCTGACATTCCCTGAGCAATAGTTTGCCTCAAACTGTACTAATCAGACGACGTCTTTATTGGTTTTCCAACCGCAAACATACACATGCAGGGAAGGACACAAGTCTCCCTGAATTGGGTAGTTTGTTACAATAAACACATAATACAGTACAATCGATAAGCAATAAACAGTAGTAAAATACAGCATAAAGATAACAAAATTGGATGCAGATACAGCATGGGGTAGTTTATGAAACAGACTTCTTGTACAGTTTTATCGCACAATGAACAAATGACCTTTTCAACCGCTTAGTCCTGGCTTTTGGCACAGTGAAGGCACTGTCGTTCCGCAAACATCTACCTACGTTTATATTGGGTCTCCCTGAAGAAGACGGAAAGATTCGAAGGCAGAGCCAGGACACACGTACTTGATGTACAGACTAAGCTAACTATTCATAGGAATCTAAACCTATAACACAGGTTTTGTGTGTATGATGTACAGATGTGTTATTCTGTTCAGTGTCCGCGTTGCTGGTCGTTTTAAACTTTTAATAGCATGTATCTTCGGGGACTGAAGTGTTTTCTGGCACCTGTTCAATACTGTTAGAAACCAGCCTGCGGAAATGTCGTGTTAGCAACAGGAATAGTAATCCTAACGCGCACTCTTCCTCTGTTGTGTGAATAAATGGCTTCAATGATTCAAGTCGATCTCTGTATCCTGTACGCAGAATGGCATATATACCTTTTGGTCATTTTGAGTTTCTTTAGAACATTCTCTCTACTATACAAGATAAATTGACTAACAGATAATGATGCAGTACTTATTCATATCACAATATGTTTCATAATATGATATCAAGATTGTATCTTAATAGTGTTCACCTTACAGATTCAACGCGAGTTCTATCTGATTCTATGAAGCGAGATGTCGTAGAATGACTCTAGCCCCATTCTCCTAGTGATTTATTCCACTGCTGTGTCTCCCAGTCTTTGATGTTGTCCAGATACTCAACGATTCATGCCCAAGTAAACGGACCGTGAAGAGGGAGGAAGTGATACTTTGTAGGTGTAAATGGCCCTTTCCCGGGACCATACATTCAACCTGTCGCGGCTCTATTGATGTTTTGTAAAGGCACGGCCACATTCGTCCTGGGCCGTTGTGCGATTTTGATTCCGTAGGATTTACAAGCAAGCTGTGAGGTAACCAATCGACGATACGGGTCTAAGACAGCTAATTTTTGGTAGATATCTGTCTTCAGACTTAAGAATACTTGTGATAGTTTCTAAAGATTTTAATGCAATACTGAAGAATGGTCTAAGAACTTCAAAATAGGCGATATCACAAAATACTTACATTAGACTACATTATGTTGACCGTCACGTTTACATTGAGTTCTACACAACCTTCATTTTTATTCCGTACGATGTTTGGCTATTAGTTCACATCTAACTACAGATATGGGTATTATAAGTTTGCCCGGGGGTCATCAAGGTCATATAGCATCACGAGCGCAAGATCAACTTTTGATGTATGCTTTCCAAGGACACAGGATGCCCTGTTACTTCTGGTCCAGTGGCTCCACCTTCTGGGCCTTCCTCCAATTAGGACTACCTCTTAAGGTTTTTAAGATTTCACGTCTCAGGGAAAGCAATGGAAAAAGGTCATCTCCTTAATGTTAATGTGAGAACAGGTGGTTGGAGTGAACTTAAAGTCCACTTAGAACGAGCGCCTGAATCTGCTTCGGCAATTTTTCTGTTGACGGTAACGCTTTTCAGTCTGAAGAGGCAGTGACCCAGAGATGTATGCTGGGCCTTGGGCATCGCACATAACTCGCACATCTACAGAACGTACTGCGCCTACGCGAAACCCGTAATGTATTATGTACTGCACTTTGGCAGAACGTCTAGTTTAAGGCCGTATTCGGGAAATGGAGGACGACATCCTATCTGTAGTTTTGAATTGTTTGTGTCGGAAAAGATAGCGTCTCCATGCAACGGGAGAAATTCTGGCGCAACGTTGACCAAACATCCGACGAAAAACGTAAAATATTTCGCGGGCGCAGTACGTTCAGTCGATTTTTTGCATGTTATCGCATGTTATCATCAGTAAAAATAAACAATCATACAGAAAACAATAAGTGAAAATAGGCTGTGACACATGGCCTTTCAAAAAATGACGTGTCTATACAGGAAGTGACGCGAGAACTAACAGGAAGTGACGTATGTTCTTACCCTACAGAATCGCCACTTTCCAGTTTTCTGGTTGAAACAGACGTACATCCGGGCGAGTCTGTCCTGTAGCGTCTGTACGTCCACCGGCAGGGCGTCCCTGTCTACACCGTACGGAACCGCCCCTTCCACCGGATCACCTTCCGTCTCGTCTTCGTTCTGTTAGAAAAGTAACAATGATAAAGTTTTTTTTCCGAAACATGTAATCACAAGACGTGGTGACGACAAACTCAAGTTTTTTCAACTTATATTAATGCCGACACCAACACAGGGACAGTACAATACTCATTTACACCTGAGCGAAGTGAGGAAAATGCCTTTCCCAAAGTGTAAAGTGCCTTTCCCAAGGGCACAAGATCGGTGACATGTCAGGACTCGAACCCGGGGCCTCTGGTTCCGAGTCGAGAACGCTGCCGCTGCGCCACACGACCCCACAATAATAAAGTTGACCAGTGACTAGAACACTTTATATTAGCCTAGTATAGTACCCTTGTATGTTCCTTATGTATGTATGTCTAAGTCAAGTAGTGCATCTCTTGTCTCCAATTTTCTATATGCGTTTGTTTATGTGTCTGTCTTGACCTGTACCTAGCCCGTCGTGGCATGAATGTACAATAAAGGTATTTCATTTCAATATTAATGAAAGTTTATTGCAAATACTTGCCCGAGGGCTAATTGCAGTTACAAACAACATAAGAAAGAAAATACAGTGGTATGTGAGACTATATCTACGCCTAGCATTATACTATATTCTACAACATACATGGTATACTAGTTTTACTGGGTTTGACTTCTTCTTTATATGAAGACGAATTTACCCACTTTTTCTATAATATGTGGGTTCTTTGATTTTAATAGTTAATAGTCTGGTTAGTTTATGTCCGCTCCCACAGTCGCTACCGACCAACCATGCAACTGTGGGAGCGAACGTTCTCTAACCAGAATGGTACCCAGGCTATCAAAGCCATCCAATGCAATCTCGGGGTGAAAATCTGTCTGACATTGAAATTATTGCCATTTCTTGGCACATTGTCGTCATCAGTTCATACTTACATCGTTTGAAATAGCCAAGAAACAAGCTACGTGAGGAGTGCCGTTTTTAGGTGCCACCAATAAATATCTATAACCACACAGAATTGAGGCGTTTGGTATTGCTAAAAACATACACATGCTAAGTCCAAAACGACAGTTTTAAGTTATTTGAACTGTACATGCCGTACATAATAAACAATTTCAGTTAATCCTAAATGTGACAAATATGTCATTTTGCCATAGAATAAAACATCTCCTAATAGAAACATACAGATTACATTAAAATGACACCTCAGTATTTTGAGGGCGTCCCTAAACACCGTCTTGTTAGTTCGCCTCCTGTGTCCAGGCAAGCTTAATGGGAGTTTTTGACGTCTTGAATAGGTCACTCCAGATCTCTGAGCTTACCCTTTTGACACGAAAGATCATTTAGCGACCTTCTAGGGTCCCCAAGGAGGGCCAATTTGTCGCAACATTTTTAACAGACTGCGAAGAAGAGCCAACATTCTGTTAAAGTTTTCCCGTAGGATCAGGCAGGATTTTCTGTCTGACAGCACGGCGACTTACATGTCAATAATACATGCCGGATCACGCTCGTGTGCTGAACCAACACCTCGGGAGACATAATTAACACAGAGTAAATGAGTTGGAATTGACGGAAGTTCCTATTTTAGACGTTTCTATAAATCTATAGGGCCCCATTATACAAAAGAGGTTTGACTCCAAAAAACCTTGTCAAGTACATCTAGAAAAAGTACGATAATTTCCTTTTGGCTGCAATGAGGGGAGAAATTACATTAGTACGAAGCAATGCCTTCCGTATCAGAGCTATAACCAAGATATGATCATATTATGTGCTATGTACATATAGCGTAAACCATTTAGATCTGATGAAGATCTATGGGCCGTAATGTTATCAGCATCAAAATGTACGACTTAAAAGGGCGATGAATTTTGAGGACATAAAACGGCAAATATGTTTATCCCAAAGCATCACATTTGGCGCCAAAGGGTATTGTACAAGCGATATCGCAATCTGGCCTGAAACTCACAACGATACTATGGCCTAATATTCTTTCTGGGCGACTAATGGATACCCAAATAAAGTTATGTGAACAAGACTGTTACTTGTAAGCTTAGTTTACCATAATTGTCGTTTCCCTGCCTCTTTTTGTTTCTGCATATAATGTATAAAATCTCCTTAGAGTTTGTTTAATGGGGCGTAATTGTGAGGGGACCTACGGATCAACCAAACACACAAAGTAGTTTAAATATAGTAGGAAACCTTTGGGGGTATCTCTGACAGTTTAATTGCATCAGGTGACCACTAGAGGACTTAGATCGATGGATTAATCATTAACCGTTACCCGGAGGAAAGAGGCTGGTTTCAGGTAAGTCACGATCTGGAAATGATAGATTAATTGCACCCCCTCTAGGAGAATTGATTTCTTCATCAGTGCCCTCGTCCGATGACGTCTGTTAGACGTAGGACATGTCAAAGTTCGTGCAGTGATTGACAATGATTGACACAAGCCTCAGGCTTAATTATAATACCTACGGTTATACAAAATCGATAAATATTGGCAGATGAAGACTTGGCGACTTGAATTTTCTTTACTGATTAGCATTTTGTTTTGCATCTTTAGGCCACGTATTTATGGAATGAGTGGTATGGCTAATTTCATAACTTTAAGTGGCCAAATGAGATTGGGCACTTCTTTTGGGGCTACATATTCCTTCCTTCATGTCCCCTTCCTTCCCTCCCTTCCTCTCTTCCCCCTTCCTTCCTTCCACCTTCAATCCTCTTCTCTTCCCTTTCTTCCTTCCTTCCTCCCTTCCTTCCTTCCCTCCTTCCATCCTTCCTCCCATCCTGACCTGTGAAGTGGTCCCGTCCATGGGCAGCATGACGTCGAAGTCGTCCCCCGCCGCCGGCCTCCTGCCCCGGCCTGCCGCCGCCCTCTTGAACTCGTACCAGGGGAAGATGTGGTTGTGCATCGCGGATTGGGCCAGGCATGTCGTCGTGGCCATCACCAGGAGCACAAGGACCAGCGTCGAGGGCCTCATTGCTGAAACAGAAGAAGTCAAACTGAAATGTTTAGAGCAGAGCTCGAAATACCACCTGCATATGCAGGTTAGTGCAGGTAGAATTGGAGCAGTGTAGGTACATTTTTATATGTCTAATGTACCTAATCTGCATGCACCGGTCTAAGTACTGTTTTTGTATATACACGTACTACGTACTAGGTATTTGTGTATTGTCATTTGCTGCAATGGCTGTTGGCTCGTCTCAGTTTGAATGTAAGTAGTATATTCTTTTAACACTTGCCTCATGGCTTCAGTGGAGGGAGCTATAGAGATACAGCCGCTATCTAAGTTACAGTACCTATAAAAACTCAATTTGCTCATGGTCATGTTTCAGTGAGGTACCGAATGTTAGATACAAATAAAAAAAGACGCCAAGGGAATTACTTCCCACATTCCCAATTGATATCAGAAGCGCCACCTAAGATACAATCGTACAAACTAGCAACATTAGACGGCACGTTACGTTATGCCTTTGGCAGCGGCCCAAATGTAACATTTAAAGGCTTTGTAATTTCCTACAACGTTACGGTCGACTTGAGATCTCTACTATAACATAAATAACAAGGCGGAAAATTAACACATGATGTTGTCGCTATTCATAATCCACCTCACCGGGGCTGATAAATCCCAAAGTACGATCCCTGATTTAAAAAGAGACCATTATCAAAATATGAGAAACCCTTAATTGGACTGCTATCTGCAACGAATGTTCGCCAAAATTTACCGCGAGGCTTGGAACAACAACCTGCACAACAATTTTGTCTCATACCGACATTTTCGTCATAATTTCAGAATTATACCATTTGAGTAGCCCGAAAAGCAAGCTACGTGATGAGTCCCTTTATTTTTTGGTACCACCAATAAATAGCTAGAGACAGCCTATAATATGAAACAAGCAACCGTTTTCCGTCAGCATCATCGCATTTTTGCCTCACAGATTGGTATGTACATAGTGGATTGCTATGGGATATATAGAGGTTATTGAACTTGAAAATTCAGTATGACTGCACTGAAAACGCTTTGGGTGCCTTTACGGTACACGACAGAGCTTAGCTTTCCACCAAAGTGGTTTGTACACACCTTTAGGATGTAACCATAGCTTAAAGCACAAACCTCCGGTAAAAGCTAACAAATGGGCGCGCCCGGAGGGAAACACGTACGGGCGTGTCGAAATAGACAAATCGAAACGCTTGCTTCCATGCCCGGAGTAACATACTTAGTAGCTCGACAAAAACATTTGTCAAGATCTGGAGACGATCCTTGTACAAAATACCTCACACAGCATGCAAATACATGATATCACATTCAGACAAATCTTCAAAGACATTTGCCACAATCGGCACTCTTATGTACGTACAAGGTGGTTAGACATCTTCGATGGTCGCACGATCCTACAAATCCTTTTACGATATTCGGAAAACTGCCAAAAACGACACCCCAATTCCTCAAGACATTATTAAAAAGATACTTAGACATCTTAAATGGTCACGCTACCTTAACCTTTACGGACAGTCGGCAACGGTCACAAACGGCACCCCAACGTACTCTAAGACATTACAAAGCTGTTCTGACATCTTTTAGTAAACACTTACCGTATCCCTAATACTGAGAAGGCGGAGAGAAACGTCCTGTCCTGTCTGACACTCCCGATCACCCGGTCCTCCTCTCACCGACTGACGCTGACTGCTCGCCTGTCAGAGGGTGACTTCCTGGCAGGGAGGTTTTAAACAGATCACCGCCCGGCAGCTCTGCTTGGTTGGCTGTCCCAAAAGATCGCCGTGACGATAACGTGGGAAGGAATGGAGTTTTCCAGGCCGATCTCTGGCGGAGTCTCCTCTGAGATACAGTCACAGAGGACGCGCTCATCGCCCACGATCTACATCCATCACTGAGAGATGCATAGATTTATATGGCCGAGTTTCGGATGTTGCGCAACCTATTAAAGTTTCACATTCGGAAAATCCTGCAAGGGATGAACAGTGCCTTGTATATAATGTTGCATAGGAATCAATCATCCAGCTATCTGGTATTCCTACAAAAGACGTTTATGATTCGGTAATGCGCGATTCCCTGTCTCCCGATTACTTCAATATCTGACTAGATTGCAGGCACAACATAACATAACATTACGTCTACATCAATCTATGACCCAATAGAGCTAGCCAGTAGTGAGCAAGAGGCGTTTAGTCGGCGCTAGTCCGCAGTGTACTATTTGATTAAATGCTTGGAATAAAGTAATAAATGGGACCTACTGGGCGATGTCGATAACATCACCGCAAGTCACACATCTATGCACAGTGACGCTGGAAGGAAAACGATATGTGTGTGTTAAGTTGTACGTATGTGTGAACTTTCACGGGTAGGGGGAGAAGTTAGCCTGGAACATCGATAACTCCGCGGTTCCCGCCAGGCAAAGGAGCGCGTAGGGCCAGGAGCTGCAGATGAGCAACAGGCAGCAATGGGTCATGATAACAAATGGACTAGATATACAAAGTGCCTCCATTAATTAACATACAATGGTCGCTCTGGATTTTGAGAGAGAGCATCTTAGAAACCGGATGTGCACTACTGAGTCAAGAGCACTCACATGGGCTCAACTAATACACCACTTATGACCATATTTCCGGTAGATATAGAATAAATCCAGTTTAATCGTCGTTTTGGGTGACTCTTAAACTTCGATCCACACAGGGCGTCGCTATGGGGATTGTGTCTCTCGAGGGCATAATTCGTGATGTATTTGCCTTCAAACAGGAGCAAATTATCCAGTCGGAGCGGGTCCTAGGGTACCAAGAGAATCATTAGAGCCAACAGCAGAAGTTCTTTAATCCTTTAGTCCTACTTTGTGCTTACCGTTTCGTGGAAAAGGGATTTGAAGACCGGTTGAGTTGTACCCCAAGGGAATCGTTGGGAGGATTTCACAACGGACCGAGGACTCCCGCCGTATTTTGTCATGGCTCTGCGGGTCAAAAAGTCCCCTACTGCCGTGCTTGACTATGCTCCATGGGACCACGGGCTCAAGCGATGTTTGTTATGGGGTTAGATGCCAACACATTTGGGAGAGATCTAGGAGGCCCAAACAAATTAATCTATAAAGAGATTACCAGAAATACCCGACGACAGTTCAGAACCATCAATCATATGAACATATGGATTATGTTTGGTAAAGTCCCTGTTACACATAGCCTAAGATGGCCTCCCGAACACTGCCGAACTCCCCCAACCATGGTTAGGAGTGGGTCAGGAGCAAGGTCTGCTGTGGTACATGTAGGCTGGTGTTCAAAGGGATTTAGTCTCTACCAGGCTTGGGGAGGCGGATGGAAAGAGTAGAAATCGGCCAAATAGAGAGATAAGCATGCCAACATGTCCGTTAAGGGATTTGTTCTTTCAACGGACAAACTCCCTTGGCATGCTTATCTCTCTATTTGGCCGATTTCTACTCTTTCCAGCCGCCTCCCCAAGCCCGGTAGAGGCTAGATGAGATCTGCTACTATTCGGCTGCGTCATACAGCAGTACAGAGACATTATTTTACTTTCATGCATGTATAGAACGGGTCATATGTCTGACATGTGCTTTACAGTGTTGCTTTGATTACAAGCGTGACCTTTGGCGATCGGAAACGGCATCATTAACGTTTCCAGCGCTAATGCGATTTCAAAGAGGACGGGATCCCTCCCGAACCGGGTTCAATAGTTCCGACACCACATGACAAGTTGTAACCGCCAGACCTTTTAATTGCACTTTAGAGACGAAAACGTATGTGGAGAATGGAGATGATACGTACACTTTCCTTGTGACGAAGTGGTTTTCAGTCTTGAACTGTTACAGATTGTACAATTGATGACACATGTTCCAATGGTTATATTTTCCACTGATAAGGCCTAAGAACCTGAACATGGCTGTAGTAAGTTCGGGTTAACATTCTCTATTGTGTTGCAATACAGTTCAGTTACAGTTCAATTATAACTTTGTGCTGGTATTAATGGCTCTCTTTGCAATCAAGTTGATGGCGGAAGAGAGTTGGCAATTATACTAATGATGTTTTGTTTGTTAAGTGTCACTGAGAAACCTCCGGTTCTTAAGAGGGAAGAAAATGGTCTTAAGCATGGCAATTATCAGCTGTTGTATGTGATTGAGTTGGGAATACCGTAGGATCACCGGACCTTGAAAAACGAACATGTTGCGTCGGTGGCGCAACGGTTAGAGCGTTGGACTCGGAGCCAATAAATCCCGGGTCCGATACCCGCCGCTGTGCCCTTGAGAAAGGCACTTTACACGACTTCCCTCCCTGTACGGTGGAGTGACGCCCACCGAGCCTCTTTGGCTAATCATAGGTTGTCTAAACGTTTGTCAAAAACACACTGCGGATTTGGTGCGCCAATGTGCCAACAACTGCACATTTGCGACCGAGAGCCGCATATTTTTAATGAATGAATGAATGAACGAAGACCTTTATTGCACATTTCTGCCACACTTGGCTAAGTACAGGTCACAACAAAACAAGATGAATGGACACGGTTAACAGATACAAAATTAACTAACTAATTATATAAATACGAAGCACACCCTTTTTCGACGCCCCTTTTTTCTACCGCACAGTCTTTCGAAAAAACAAACTGGTCAGAGATTGTCTTCTCGGAGATCACATGCCAAGGTTCTATTTCCCACGGTTACGTATGATGCTCCGAATTGAGGATGACAAGTTGAGAGCCTGACCGCTTTACTGATGGATACCTGATCTATCTCTTCAGACAGCCCATACTATAGTGCGGAGTAAGGGCAGGTGAACAAGTAATTGGGCGCTAGATGAAGGCAAAACTATTCATAACACTAGAAAAAGGTAACTTTTGCAAAGCAAATACATAATGTTTACCTTCGCATATGGTCTGCCCTGTTAATTCTTACTCAAACACATAAATAGTGACACGAGTCTAAATCCCTCCTACTAAAAATTGTAACATTATGAACCCTGTATGTAACCCAACACCAGTTACCATGGTGAGAGACAGTCTGGTTCAGGTCATTGACCAGGTCAGAGGTCAGTGTTTTGATTTAATTTATTGATTTATTTGAGAGGAAGAAACGGTAAACATGAAAAGCACGTAGGTGTAGATAACCATCTACATTAGAGTGAGGATACTCTTTTGAGAGATTGAAGTCAGACCGATTTTTTATAATTTCGGCATAACGCCTTAAATCCCCGAATATGGATTAATTGAAGTGATTAATGAAGAATGGCTTAGAACAGGACGGACAGAAGCACGTACTAAATTTAAACATATTCTCAGAAACCATTTAAGTAACGACTCGGACACAAATAGACCTGTTGGATTCCAATTTCAGCACACCAACCCAATCAAACCTGAGCGAATTGTTACAGGGAAACAAAACGGGTCATATTCATCCAATTCTGGGGGGAAATTGTCCTCAGGGACACGAAGAAACCAATTTACATCTCAGTTGTATCCAGAACCGTGCCTAGCTAGATCTGTGCCTGTGATGTAGGCATTTCGTCGGTCTTACAAGACCATGAAAGTACTCAATCTACACCATGTACTTATTTTTGGTTTTGCGCTTAAAGCTTCTCAGTTCTGATGCGTGTCTCTGTGCCTGATTGGGATAGGATCAGGTACGGTTCTAGAGTCTCCAAGAATAGTACCCAAGAACGTAGATTTGTTCCGAGTATGTCTTGATACAAGGACCATCCTTGCCCTGTTGCAGAGAAAGTATATCTGCACGGAAAAAAGTTTATGACCAACAACACATACGTCTTGTGTGATTTATTAACTCACCAAGCGCCATCTACTCCAACATAATACACAAATCAACCATTTAATTTGATGAATTGAAAAAAAAGTCTCTAGCATAGGCCTTGACAGATAACTGTTCCAAATTTTTTCTTTTACACTTTTTTAATCACATTTTCAGTATTCTATTCTGTCTTAAAGCATTATATTTACATTGCCTTATGCACACACTTTTCTGTACAGCTGAATTCTACCTATAGTTATACAATTGTAGGCTTACTGAACATTGTCGTTGCACAAATTGAGTCTTAATTCACACAACTTACCAGCGTCTTGCACTGAAACATTTCTAATCGGATAAGAAAACTGCAGTTTCTTTCTGACAAACAGAATCACTATACTGGAATATGTGCACACTTTTCTTGTGTGTCATTCTTTCTTTCTAAAAGCATTCTTCTTAATATTCTACACTTACTGTTGACTTGTTTCTTGGCTACCATAACGACATAACACTTATTTGTAGTATTTACATTTTGGAAGACCAGATATACAGTTGGCATAATGTTTTTGGACTCTTGTACCACATATTACTGTTTGCTCTGAAATCCAAATGCAAAAGGCATCCGCGGTCGAGTGATTTCATCTTAAGTTAGTTACACATTTTGCCTTTTATAGTATACCAAAAGGTTCAATGTTCATGTACATCTGCTTATTCCTGTGAATCTCATACTACCAGAGGAGCTAATTTAAAATGATCCCAATGGTCATATCTGTGACAGTTTTCACCCTATGTAAATGATTCTTGGATAGCAACATTAAGTCTTTTGTTACAAGAAAATGGACAATGCAGAAAAGATTACCTAGTTACCTACATGTATGTGACCATTGAGTTACATGTACAATGTATCACCACATATCACACATACTCTTACTAATCAGAATGGACAAATCCAGCACAGAAAAAAGATGATGTTGACATTTTTTCCCTTAACAAGGATTGAAGGAAAGCACATATTTTCCAAATGGAAAGATATTGAATGTGCAATAACTGATAGAAACTCATTTAAGGTGAATCGTGCAATATGGGCCATCCCGTATTCATGGCACATCTGTAGAAATATCCTCATCTACACATGTTCATGTTCTTCTTAAAATGTTAAACTACAGTAACTGCAAACTGCTTGAGCATTATAATGTATACTTGCCAAGTAGAAGATGGATTGGACTACTGTAACCAATCCGATCCTGTTTCACATGACCCTAGTATGATCTTACTTGCTAAGCAGATATTTGATAGGAATACTGTTACCAATCTGGTCCTGTTTCATCATATAACCCTATGATCTAAAAATATGATACCTGTGCCTCTTGTATATCTGCCCTAGATAATCAATGTAACAGCACCTAGAAGTGTTTAGCCATACATAAAGATTTATCACTTGCCTTAAACACCAGGCATCCCCATTACCATGCCCCAAACCTCCCACATCAATAACTCTCGCTCCTGTAACCACAGAAGTAAAGCCCTCTGGGGCAGCAGTGCTTCTCCTGTAAATCTGCCTAAGTGTTTTAACGATGATTTACAGCCTCCCCTCAGACCATTAACACCAAACAAACTGTGCATATTCACCCATAAAACAGATGGGGATGAATATCTATAACAAAGATAATACTTTGATCTTTTAAAAGAGGTGTAATCGTGGTGTTTAGTAGTCTAAGAGTAATGATTGTGCTGTGAGCTTGACAATGTTGGGTGTGATTAGATGTAAATGTAGGGAGATTATGTCGGCTTCTGAAAGGCTTCTGGCTATGTGTGGAGGTGCCAGGTTTATTGCATAACTAACATTAGTTAGACCAGACACTGTCGCACTTATATTATAGGCCCTTCCACTGGTCAGGCCTATAGAAGCCTGATGACAGACTCTAATAGACCCATTCGACTTTCAGGGATCGCATAAACTGCATACGTCACAGAATAACCTTAAATTGTTGTACGGAATGCCACCATACAAAGTTGGTGCCTGTTTTCCTGTCATTTCCGCATATATTGCCGAGAAGATAGACACCTACCTTTTAGAAAAAAAATGATCTGCCAGGGGAGACACCGCGAGCGCAAGCCGCGTTCGACTTCAGCGTCCTAGAACAACGTTCTTTCGAAATGTCCCCCCTGTGACGCAAGTAGTTTATGCGATCCGTGAAAGTTGAATGGGTTTATTGAGCAGAACTTGGGAGAGGAGACCCATTCAGCCCTTAATGGCAAGAGATAGTGGCTAGATTTTCTACTACAGTTTCTTGTGGATCAATTCTCCTTTAACTGCCTACTCATAGGTGACAGCTATTGCTCAAGGTGAGGGTATGGAATAAAACACAATCACCACCCTTTACTATATAACGTATGATAACATATTCATGTAATATGCAACTTATTCAGAATTAATTAATTTAAAAAATTCAATGAGCATTCTTAACAGAAACATAAAATTTGACACCAACCAAATTGCACACACAAGATAACCAATAAGATACAGAAACAAATACAATCATATTGGAACACTCCTTCTACCAACCCAACTTTAACCATAATATTGCATCATATATTAAGGCTCTAATGCACTAATCCTTGAACACATAACAGTTCAAACATTTTCTTTTCCTACTGAATGTTTTATACTACATTGTGCTAACCATTCTGTTTGTAAGATACCTGCGTAGCTAACAGGACAGTATTCTTCTTGAGTTACATTTTAAATATATTTTTATAATTATGTACAACAATTCTGGTACTAACCGTAGCCACTATAGTGGTAATAAAAGAAATATGATTGCTGTTACAGTAGTATTATAATATACATCTTTGCAATAATTGTGCTTTTTAATTATTAAATAATACATTCTGTAACTTTAGCACTTTGTATCAAACTACAGTTAAACTTGCTGGACTGCAGTAGTGGGAAACAGGAATAAGCTTCTCTGTGATGTTGTCTGAGTTAAGGTGATGTCAGTGGTGACAGCCACCCCTGAAATGCACAGAAAACACAAAATATTAATTTATGAAGTATACAAAGAGATACATTGTAACTATTCAATGTAAAATACAATAGCAGACTAAAGAGATTCTGGTCTGGCAAAAACATTCTGAGAGAGGGGAGCGCTTTTTACACAGGCTAAGGTTCTCTACTGTGGCAGAGGGAGTTATGCTGTGGGAGCACGTCGGCAGAACGTACTGCACCTGTGCAAAACCCGTAATGTATTGTACATAGCATTTCGGCAGAATGTCTCATATAAGGTCGTATTCGCTCATATAAGGTTAGCATTTCGACAGTCATTTCCAAATGTTGTGTCGGAAAAGATATCCTCTGCAACAGGCAAAATTCTGATGCAACGTTGACCAAAAATCCAACTAAAAACGCGAAAATCCAGAGTTCTGCGCAGGCGCAGTATGTTCTGCCGACGTGCTTGCTGTGGGGGAGTTATGCCTCTCTCTCCATGGATACAGCTCTCACATTAAAATAGCCCTTCCCCCGAAAAGAAACCACCACCCAAGCCAATCGCTGCCCCACTAGAAGTTTGCACAGGAGGTTAATTTTCCTATCATGTGAGAAATGTTATGAAAGCTTGCTGCAGAAGCAAAGGCATGAAATGGTGTCCCTGGCACCCTGCTTTGAATGAGCAAAAATCCATGGCCAGATGGTTTCATCAGCTTAACCTTTCTGTAAAGCATACAACATTCTTTCATGTAACAGTAGAAACCCAAGACATTAGTGTTAACAGTGATTGTAGCAAGACAGAGACAGGCTTGGTCAAATTACTCCAAATATGTAGCTCCTTACAACACTGAATGAAATTTTCTATGTTGATGTTAGAGATCCAGGTATGGAGAAACAAAATTTAATTACTCAAGCAACTGCAGTGGATAGATTTAAATCTATCCACATACAGCTGCTTGAGAAACTTTTTCCTTGTGTGAGCTGAATTTCCATTTTTGCTCTGATATGCTTTCAATTTGCAGAGAATATTCTCCATAAAATAAGCTGCCTAGAAAACCTTACAGAGAGGAGTAAGGAGATATAGATGGCAGAGATAAAGGCAGATTAATGCAAGAGAATATCAAACAACAGAGGCCAACTAACCATCCACGTGTGCCACACCATACAAGCGCACACTATGACTGCATGAAACATGACAAACAAACACAGGGTTAATAAGGAATGCAGCACAACAAAAGGAGAGCAGCTGTTGTTATACTGTAGTACAGTAGTTTCTAGTATAGTGTCATAGGGTTGTTGCTAAATAGAAGAGGTTGCTATGTATACTTTTTTTGTATAGCATCTTCTACAAATGTTGTGCAATAAAGTTATCACTACTGGTATCAAAGTTATCAAAACAGAAAAAAAAATACAATCATGTAGGCCATTTACGTGATCGGATTCTATATTAACCAACATACATGTACAAAGACAAAAGGCTAAAGAAGTTCCTATGGTCTACAAGCTTATTCACAGCTATGGTTTATTAGGAGGAATATAAAAGCTAAGAGTGTAAATAAACTCAATGTTCTTAAACATCTGAGCATGGTGGCATTATGACAGTAGCTGCTTTTGGCCATATAGTTGTAAATGAATGAAAATGATGTCCTACATGTAAATCATAAAAAAAAGGAACAGCTTATTTCATGATTATATTATAATAGTAAATGTGTTCTATCTACAGCTGATGTGTTATTCATTTTCTACACCACTAACTGATTCAAAGATCTGTGACTCACACTATACATGTACATGTATGCCCTACCGCTTTCCCACCCACAACTTATCGGAAATTCTATCTACCCTGTGGTGCAAGGAACACAGACAGACTTGACCGTGGGATAAATTTGCCTGCAGTTGAGTTACTTTCCACAGACAATGATTTTAAGATTGAGGCCCAAAGTTCAATCACCTACCTGAGGTATATAATATTTTGTCCATAAAAAAGGATGTTAAGCTATAAAGTTCTGAAAGATAGAGCTGTATTAACTTCATTTCAAAAGAATAATAAGTGTAACAAAAAAGTACCTTTAAAGTTTAAATGAGTTTTTCTTTTTTAAAAAAAGGAATTGAAAGTCAAAACTGAAAATATGATCATGGTTGCCATGTCCTTTGGGAAGATACCATTATAAGAAGGCTATAATTTTCATATATCTGGAGAGATTCCAAGTTGCAAATGATGCCCATAAGACAGATTGTCTTCCGGACTGCTGAAAGTTAGATTTTCTGCTTATTAAGAGTAAGAATGATTAATGGCAGTAATTTGGAAAGAACAGAAACAAATTTGTGGTTGAAACCCTCTGGGGGAAAGGAGTTTCTGGTAGATGGTATCTTTGCTTATCGGAACCGTGATAGAACGGACTGTACATAATTATTGTAAATTGGTTCATACATAATGTGAAAGCAGAACACAGAAGAACATTCCTGTATGTGTCTGTTTTTCATTACAAGTAAACACTTCAGACAAATTCACACAACATTGTATGCAACTGGACTATCATAAATTATATTCATTGTACTTTATTTTAGATGTTTGCTTGCTCAAAGGTTGGTACAAGTTGGAAGTATCTAGTCTTAGTGGAATTTTTCTGCAATGAAATATTGCCAGACTTGCTAATCAACTAACAAACATCAAGCATGAATTCAAAAGATAGGAGAAGCTTTTTCACATTTTTGGTGTGTGAAGGAAGTGGGGCAGTTCTATGTCTAGGTACATAATTGTATAGTTGACAGGATTTTTCACTCTTGTGGGACTGGGCCAATTTCTTATGACGTCTCATTCCTTCTCATTTACTCATTTACACATTTATCTAAACCAGGAACGAGGGGGTGGCAAACCCTGAGTTTAAACCCTGTCCACTGGTGTATCCTAATGACTTCCTGAGGGCATACACCACGTTCTTCTCCACAACCTCTGGATCAAAGAGGTCGAAACGAGGCAGCTTCTGCACTGATTGATTAGCTAATTTTGCAGCCGTCACGAAGTTGGAGTATTGATCACGCACTTTGAGTAACACTTCCTGGGTGTCCCTGATTGTGTTATAATTAAGCTACACGTAATCTCATAATTACTTCAATTCATCAATCTGACAGATAATCGGAAGTCTTAAGTTGTATCTGGTGCTTTAAAATCTCCTTGGCTACTACTCCCCACCTACATAACAAATCACACCTTTAAACTCAGTAGTATTTACATTGTACTGTAGCCTCTCTTAATTGCATGGATATAGCAATACAGAAGACTAAGTGGAAGATTTGAAATGAAACAGAAATGAAGAGAACAAAGTTACCATCATGATTGATTTTGTCTCTCCAGAATTGGCCAAAAAATGTGAAAGAAAAAAATGAAGAGAAATTAAGAAAAGAAATTTTAAAAGAAGTTTACCGTAGTTTTTGTTTCCTCCTGCTCCAGGATTTGCCTGGTCTGTTCTGCTGGGAACTTCAAGATGGCGGCTATGACCTTGGCCATAGTCTGTGGAACAAGCAAGGTCAAACAACAGATGAAAATCTTTATGATCAGCTAGGATTGCTCACTTTATCCCAAAGCTGATTCAGCTCTGGCTACAATGGACCTACACCATTATTACGTCACAGTTTGTTTACCGCAATGAATGCCGGTCAATCAACATTTATATTGTACAGGGGTGCGTAGCACGGTGTGTGTTTGTGTAGCGTTAGCCTAATATAAGGCTTTTAATACAGTACTACTTTTGTCTAATGTCACAACTAAATCACCCATGCGGCATGCAATGCTGTGTGAACACAGCTAAACGCAGCAAAAATCAGACATACCATTCTTTGAAAACTTTGAAATGATCTTTATTCTTTAACTGACGGTTCTAGAATGTTCATTAGAACAGGTAAACAAACTGTGACGTAATAATGGTATAGGTCCATTAAGTGTGACAAAAGTTGTATTGTTTTACACATCATGCATTCAAACAAGACTTTTTGAAATCACATCAAAGTACTCTGCTTTGTGTCCCCATTCTGTAATAATAATAATAATCACAATCATCCAAACAGTCTTCCAAGGGAGATCGCTAAGATCAGGGACAGACAAAGATTCAAACGTGAGGTTAATTCTTTCCTCAGCGCAAAACTTTGACAGCGTTCTGTCTACTAAGGCAGTCCTGCTGCTAATGCTGAGTGAGAGCTGACATAGATAAAAAAACAAAACAAATTGTCAACACACTTCTTTCTCAAAGTCTAACTCACCTTTGTTTCTCTGCCCATCATGTATTCGAACAAGACTTTCTTTAAGTACTCTGTTTCGGTGGGTTCTGTGAGCAGGGGACCGAACGCATCAGCCTCTACATCATCCTCTTCTCTACCCATCGCTGAGGCAAGCTGGGAGACAAAAACAGATTAACGTTAAACTTTTAATTGCTGAAACATTTCAAGAAATATATCTTTATAGCTCTGTAGGGAAAAAAGGAAAGCATAAAGTGGCAGAAGAAACAGTCAACAAGATTTTTATTTTATTCACATTTATTTTCCGAGGATGAGGCAAAAAGTTATAAAACTTATCTCAGCCCTCTCCTCACACATAAAAGGATACAATAAAACAAAATAATAATAATAATAAGAAATGACAAGGGTACATAGTAGGCTGGTGTACAAATCAAAATGAATCAACTAAATCAAACAAAACGTCCTGTCTGCAAAATAAAGTTGAAAACCACATCAAATATGTTACAGTTGTTGACAAACGACAATGAGGGGTTACCCCTGAGAATGGTTGAACATAAAGTGTTGTCGGTGACGTTGTTTGTGTCAAATGGCAAAATGTTAGTTAGAGATGATAACATGTCAATGCGTTCGTCAGTGTACAGTGGGCAGTGTAGGAAGTAGTGTACAGCTGTTTCGTTGAAGTGACCACATTTGCACGCAGGACTGGGCACACATTGATGCGTCAACAAGATGAATATGGATTGAAAAAACAAATTGATATTCCTGAGAATTTTTTGTGTTGGAACAAAAGATTTAACTTTAAACAATGTAACTACCAACACAGATGAACTTTCATGATTGTAAATTGATATTCTGTTTCCCCTTTATAATGTACATGGATATGGGTGAAAAATACATCATACTTAAAAAGGGATACTAAGTCTTGCAAGAATCAAGGAAGAAGTATATTGTGTGTAAAGTAGATAAGAAAGCTTACAGTGTTGTTAATATTAGCATCTATAGTCTGCTATAGGATGACTAAAACAACAACAAAAAATCTTGCTTTATGCCCCCAATGGGCCATGATTAAATTAAAAATAAAATACATTACACTATAAGAACAAAACAAACAAATCAGAATGAAATCTGAACAAAAGTTACACTATGAATGATTAACAAATGGTAGAATATAAGTAAAATTGATAGGGATTTCTATCATATATAAACATATTATAAAGAAAAATAAGTAAAAGTAAAGAATCAAATATCAATCAATTAGAATCAAATGAAACAAAATTGGAAACAATTTCCTCGCATTAAGTAATTAAGATAATGCATTACAACATAAATAATCATAAATACAACAAGGAGAACACAGGTTAGGTACATGTAGACAAGGACAGGAATAGTTGCAAGCATCAAGGAAGTCGTGAATAGGGAAGACAGCTGACAATGTTGTGAAATATTAGCCGCTATAGTTTGCTAAAGGATGACTAATACATGTATAACAACAACAAATCCTTATTTGCTTTTTACCCCCAGTGGGCCTGACCATTATTTTGATGAATGTTCTGGATGTGTAAAAACATCCCCCATCACTAATCCATGTAGTTTTACCTTCAATAAAAGGATTGACACTTATGATGAAGAAGCTTTCCAGCATAAGAGACTCAAATACTCCTTAAGTCCTCTTAAGCACCGACATTTCCTAATAATGGTCTAATAATTTCCTTCATCAGAGAGTACCAACTACAAATGTACTTCATTACTACTTGGGATGTGTGAAAATGTTGGAGCTTCAGAGATTAAACACTGATCCATGTGAGATGTTTGTGTGCGACTTTTCACATTAAGGAACAGCAGGAGACTTGTTAAGTACTCATAAAGTCTTCCTGAGCGCTGACAATTGTTCAGCGGAGAGTTGGGATCAGTGAGGTATCCATCGTTCCTACCCTCTGTTTCAGCTGTTTCTCTTGCTGCCACTGATCACACTGATCCATGACAATATGTTTGTGTGTGACTTTCACATTAAGAGACAGCAGGATACTTCTTAAGTACTCCTGAAGTCTTCCTTAGCACTGACAATTGTTCAGCGGAGAGTTGGGATCAGTGAGGTATCCATCGTTCCTACCCTCTGTTTCAACTGTCTCTCTCACTGCCACTGATCACACTGATCCATGACAATATGTTTGTGTGCGACTTTCACATTAAGGGACAGCAGGAGACTTGTTAAGTAGTCCTCAAGTCTTCCTTAACGCTGAGTGTTCAGCGGAGAGTTGGACACAGTGACAGAAGTGAGATATTGATCGTTCCTACCCTCTGTTTCAGCTGTCTCTCTCGCTGCCTCAGACCTTCCAGCTCTGCAGTCTGCTGGGACAACTGAGCCTGAGGAGATGGAGAGAGGATTGGCAGGAAGACATTCCATTAATGCAACAACCATGACAAGGAAAGGCAAAGGTTCAGTAGGCTTTATGTGGCTGTAAGCTAAGGGCAGTTACGTAGGTTGTGAATCCGTGTCTTAATTGGGCATGGTATTGGAAGGTGGAGGCCATCCTTCTCTTTCATTGCCTTGTACATGATTGTACCTTGAAGTTCCCTACTGAAGTTGGGTACCCATTTTACACCTGGGTGGACATGTGTGATGTGCCTTTCCCGAGGACATAATGTCTAGCCAGGAATCTCAGAAGTTGAACCTGTGATTCCTCAACCCCATCTCTGCTAGCCAAGCTTTTCACTTATTGCTGCCACTTTTCAAAAGGTCACAACACACATTTCAAAGATGTAGACTTGTAGGCCAATGTGTGGGTTTGTGAGCAATAAGGCATTCATTACAGGGCCTCAAGGGACTCAAGGAAAGGCTCAAAAGTTCTCTAGGGTAGACTAACATTTAAAAAAAACTTGATACAAATGTAAGACTTGAATGTGAAGTTTGGTTTGATAGCTCTGATCTACAGGATCCTGTTTTATAGCTCCTCACCAGAGACACTCATTGTTGATTCCCATGCATCTTTAGCAGATGGTGGGCAGGAGCAAAAGTGTACTTAAGAAACAAATCTATGCCAAGGTACATCTCAAAACATAAGTCCTTGGCAGCATACGCATACGTGTACTACCTCTAACTCTTCAACAATGATGTAAATGGGAAAGGAGCTACAAATGGTAAATACTCTAAGACTTACAATCCTGTCTATAGTGACCATCTGTCCACATAGACCAGATTTTATTGGCCCTCAGAGCAGTCTTCTTTATATAGGTAGTTTTGACTGTACCTTGGGGATGAAATAAAATGTTTTTTTGTATCGCACCTGCAGCTCCCTGTTGAACTCTATCCACTGGGATACAAGTTAAGACATTCAACACTTTATTTCAAAAGCAGGTAAATACACTTACAATCCTGTCTATAGTGACCATCTGTCCACATAGACCAGATTTTATTGGCCCCCAGAGCAGTCTTCTTTATATAGGTAGTTTTGACTGTACCTTGGGGGTGAAATAAAAATGTTTTCTTGTGTCCCACCTGCAGCTCCCTGTTGAACTCTATCCACTGAGCAGCAGGGTCCTTACTGACGTCCCCGTCTGGAGGCAGCTGGGGCCGGTTCTGTTGGGCACGGACCGCGTCACGCGCCTGGTCCAGATCTTTCCTGCAACATTATGACATAAAACAAATACAGTTATTTCCAGGAAAGTAAAATTGAATCTGTTTCCAGAAATATCATCGGGCTAATGGGTCATAGGGAAATAAATTATGTTCTTGTGACACAACCTAAAGAAAATTTACCTGGCTGATGTTATACAGGCAGGGAGATGCAGTTTATATCAATAATATCAAGATTAAGACTTGATGAATTTTCAAATGTACATTCCCAAACTCTGAAATCTCACTTAACTGATGGAAATGCTTGCAATAAGATGTTTGAAGCATTGCAGTTGCATAAGAGCAGCCTCTTCGGGCAGCTCTTCCCTACACAGATTTAAGTGGTCTTAAAAATGTAGACTTCCTAACTCTAAAATCTTGGTAAACTGATAAAGATCCTGCAGTTGTCAGTTTGACATGGGCAGCCTCTTGAGCCTGATCTAGCTCTTTTGTAATTTTGTAATTTCATACAACATTGAATTTACTAAATCAAGATACAGTGGAAGACATCTCAGTGGAAGACACTGATTTAAAGTCAGGCCCTAGAAGACATATAACATGTACTATCAACACAAATGTTTGTACAAGTGGATTTCAGTTTGAAATGGGCAGCCTCTTGGGCCTGATCTAGCTCATCAATGTAATTTCATACAATAGTAAATTTACTTATATCAAGATTCAGTGGAAGACTTAAAGCCAGGCCCCGGAAGACATACATAACATGTACTATCAACACAAACATTTGTACATGACATTTATAGCATTTAGTACTTTTTAATTTATTTCCATGGGCATGATGATTTCTGTAGTACCTGAGTTGTTTCTTAAGCTGTTTGATCTGTCTTGCGTGCTCCTCAGCCTGAGTCTTAAGTAGCTGGGCCACGTCTTCCTTCCCCTCCAGGGCCAGCCGAGCCAGCATGTTCTGTTCCTCAAGAACCTGAGCAAGGGAAGGCTCAAGACGTGAAAGTCACTCTCCACACAAGTGACAGTACTTAGTAAAAAAAACACCATGCTGAAAAAATGACAGCTACCAATTCTAATACATCATCTACCAAAATGTGACAACCTCTACATGTAGGTAATACTATGCACAGTTAAGATGTGCAGGTCCTGGAGTGCTTTAGACTGGGGGACATTGTATTGAAGATCTTATAATAGTAATAATACATGATTTTTCAGGATAGCAGATATATGTGACCCGGCAATGTATGCTTTTTTAATACACTAGATGATCATGATCATGTTAACTTATAATGTAATTTTATCTGTCCCTTTTTGGGTCCAGTTGTGCTGAAACGTGACCCTAAAAAAGCATGAAGCAATGCTTACACAACTTCTTTCACAGCTATAAAGAATATGTCAGTTGCTCCAATAATCAACTGTGTGATGGCAACAGTAACCATGACAATGCAGATGACAACATGAGGCTGAAGTGATGCAATGTCTGTATATTGTACACAGGTCTGGGGGTAATGGGCACAAATTAGGACACGCACAGATGGACTTTAAAAAAATAAAAATGAAAATGGATATAAAAAAGAAATACTGATGATAGCAACAATGAAAATTTCAACCACTGGTAAATGTTGGATGGTTGTGAAGTTGTGAGGTGGCATGAAATATACATGTACGATAGCCCATAGGTACAAATCAGTTTTCAGAAAATATGCCAGCTAATTTGTATTTGTGGGCCTTCGTACAAATGTAATGCAGTATGTAAATTTTGAATGTTAAGTTGATACAGAGCATTTTTTGTGTTTTGAAAATTTGGTTAGTTATCGATAATCCTGTCCAAAAACTTTCTGAACTTGGATGCCATATTATTATTATTCCAGTTCACTACAAATGAAAGGTTTTGTAGCTGAGAAACTGAAATGATGATAATACTAAACATAACGCCATGCAAACTTGATTTTATGGTTGACATCAGTGTACGCCTTTGGCTGTTAACTGTACAGAAAGATGCTCTTGTCATCTGGCAGATTGTCATAAATCCACTACTTTTTACTCAGCAAATAGCAAAACTTTAATTTTTGTAAAAAAAGGGAAGATATGCTCAGTAGTAGATCTACAAACAAGATTTGTATTATACAGAATCTTAAGAAATGAGTTGTATATACTATATTGACTTTATCACAAAATAAGATGATTCTACTCTTTCATTCATCAGAATGGCAAGTTGTATCAGATCATGGGTTTCCATGTCAACCATAAAATCAACTTTGTTTGGTTGAAAGTCCAGGGTGTGGTTTTACCTGTGCCTCAGGGTCTCCTGCCTCCCACTGTAACACAAACACAGCACCAACAAAACGTCACAACAAGCACAGGTCACGTCACAAGTACGCTGCAAGGAACGTGCTACTCAGAAGACATCAAGAACTACAAAGTAAGCAGCATTGTGCAATGAAAAATACAAACTACTGTGTCAGAAAAGTTCCAAAGGAGTTACAGTTGTAGCAAGTTTTTAAAATGAAGGTGTCAGAAATCCTTTTGCATAGAAGACTATAATAATTACAGTGGCAGAAAATTCTTGAAAGGTAATCAACAACAAATTTAAAATAAAAGTAACACAAACGTCAAGGAAATATAACTTGTAGAAAAATAACTAGTACATAAAATTAGCCAAAAAATTCAATATAAAAGAAACAAATAAATATTGAACATTAGACATTGAAAAATATCATAATATTTCAAAGGTCTTCATGCAAACAATATGGGTGTAGACAAAGACTGTCAGTATAAACACAAGGGAAGAGCTGGGAGCAGTAAGAAGGTGCAGTGTGTATGCTGTATCTCACACATGTATGTTTGTCATTGCTGTATGAGAAGCTACAAAACTATCAAGGTTTGCATCACATGCTGTTTTACAAGTGTATAAAAATACAAAAATGTATATGTTATGTAACAGATGCACCTTTGTACTGATTTAACAAATTCCAGAATGGCTTACATAGTAACAGTTGTCTATCAGCAGTAAGGTTTTCTTGAATTTAAACTATATTTTTCCATACCACTTTTTTCCCCAAACAGGAACAATGTCATCAATTTTGAATACATGCAGACCCTGATAATTTGTGAAACTGCAAGGAAGGATTATGTTTGAAATAAATTATATAATATATATCATATTATTTGTTCAATAATTGAAGCCAAAGCTTATTGCAACTGCTTGTGCACAAAAACAGCACATATAGAAAAAGCAAAGTAACAGTAAGCCAAAAGTGACCAACACCTTTCCACACACTACAAAATACTCACCAAACTCTGACATCACAAAAGTTGGACATACAAGTAGTACCAAGTTTTAACTTTAAATTGTTGTTGTCAAATATGTGTCTAGAATGAAAAGTATGGATACAAGAGATATCTGTGTAGGAAAAATACATGTAGTACAGACTGTCAGAAAAAATACAAAAATAGAACTTCTAGGACACTTAAAGTTGGTTTATGTGTATATTTGTAGTTGAAGTTGGCCTAAAAAGATGTTCCATGAGTGTTGGCCGCAAACCACAATTCCTTATATGTGTCTTTTGTCTCTTTATGTCTCAAAGCATTAGATTTTACCCTTTTTGCATGATATACAAAATGTACATGTAGTTCCTGCATGTGCTCACCACCTGTTCTTTCCTGATATCTGTATACATGGACATGAACCAGTGTCTACCTGATGACACTCCACCCCCCTATTCTACACACTTGACCCCCCTCCCCCCTACACCCCAGTGCACAAACCTGTCTCTCCTGGTGCCACTCCTCGGTCAGACTCTGTACCTCGTCCTGGTGCCTGTCTTCTCCCTCCTTCTCTTGACGTCTCAGGGCGTCCTTCATTCTTTTTTCCAGTGCCTGAAAAGTTGACAGCATTTTGGTATACAGTTTTGGTATTATCAAATACATGTACATTGACTACATGTACATTACTTTTCTCACTGGAAAAGAACATTTGTTTTTAACATTAAGCAAAGTAGCTGTTTGGCTACCAATTCTCTATTGGAAATGGGTTAAGGCAGCAGAGAGAAGGGTTTTTTTTTTTATTCCAACATGTCATCATCAGATGTGGTGACGACACACTCACGTTTTTTCAACTTATATTAATGCCGCCACCAACACAGGGGACAAATACATGACAGGACAATACTCATTTACACCTGAGCTAAGTGAGGAAAGTCGTGTAAATTGCCTTTCCCAAGGGCACAAGATCGGTGGCATGTCAGGACTCGAACCAGGGACTCTTAGTTCCGAGTCACGCACTCTGTCGCTACGCCACACGACCCCACATGAAAGAGAGAAGTTTAAAGTGATACCTGTAGTTCAGCAGCATGACTGGTCCTCTCAGAGTCCAGGTGCTGCTGTATGCTGGCCAGCGCTGCCTGGTGGGAGTAGTCCTGCTGTTGTAGCTGTGTCTGCAGCTGTTCCACACGGCTGGACATCTCAACTTCTCGCTCCTGAGGGACAGAAATAAACAAACAAACAAATAAATATCTGCAGACTAGGGGTAATAGTCTTGTTGCTGCAGCTGTTCCACACGGATCGACATCTCAACTTCTCGCTCCTGAGGGGACACAAACAAACAAACAAACAAATAAGTAAGTAAACATCTGCAGACTTGTGGGAATAGTCCTGTGTCTGTAGCTGTTCCACACGGCTCAACATCTCAACTTCTCGCTCCTGAGGGAAAAGAAATAAACACACAAACAAACAAACAAATAAATAAACATCTGCAGACTTGGGAGAATAGTCCTGTTGCTGTAGCTGGATCTGTAGCTGCTCTACTCCAATAGACATCTCAACTTCAAGCTCCTAGTCCTAGGGCACAGAAATAAAGTTTTTTTTAATAAACAATTGCACACAGAACCAACCATGCTGCAAGTGGAAAATAAGAATCCATCTACATGTTCTTCAGGGCCCTATAACCATTGCTCAACTGATCATCCATTACTCACGCGTGTTTCATTTGCATAGCGTGATGTCACAGAAGCTGTGCACTGGATTGATCATTCCAGTTGTGCAGTCAAAAATTTGGATAATTACATGACTAGTCTAACTTTTTGTATTGGCAATTGATTCAGAATGACTCCAACCAACAGAGATGAACTTACAACCTACAGCACAACAACCTGTTGGCCTTCTATGTCAAAATGACAAAGTGTTACCTACACCATGAATAGTCAACTTGGCCAGGAGACAACCCTTAAAGAGGCTCCATCTGCCCTTATTGATTGTTCTCTAACATCTAGTTTGCTTCAGGAAAAGATCACTTCGTTCAAAACAAAATCATGGACGGGCAAAGACCTCTTACAACACATTGATTTGCAATGCATACCCCAAGGTTAACATAACATACACAACTTTGCACACAATTGGACTAGGGTACAAATTACATCCATCTTTCCAAAAAAATATATTACTCATCAAAATTTGTATCTATTTGTGGTTAACACGTCTTTGGAACTGGGTAATTTGATAAACTCTTCCAGGCCTGTTTCTTCATCACCCTCTAGATGATGACAAAAGAGTTATCGACCAAGAATTGAGGTATTCAAAAACTCGTATTTCCCCAGAACTATCGTAGACTGGAACTCGTTGCCACCAAGCACAGTTGGGGCATCATCACTAGAAAGCTTTAAACAACTCCTGCAATCAAATGTGCAAACTTTAAGATTAAGTGTAACAAGTCGTTCGGTGTGATATAGCTAGCTGCCGCCGCGCCGCGTGCCTGCGAAGCTGGTGTGTTACGCCGAAGGGCAGTTATACCGGCTATACCGATACAGAAAAGAAAATAATTATCAAAAAGAAAGTACCTCCAGTTGAAGCTCATGTCTCTGGATGGCCTCGTCGATCTCCTTGTCCTTGGCCTTGAGTTCCCTCCGTACCTGCAGCAGCTCCTCCTTATACTGCTGCTCCAGGTCATCCTCTATACGCTGCCCCCTACCTGTAGCAGGGAGAAGTGCAGTAGCTTTACATAGAACCTGATGTACAACGCACTTGACAAGGAACACATAATACCCTGACTTCCTCACATACATGTACATATAGCCTCTCTCATTTGTTACTAAAACTCCTATTCCTTTTGGCTTATTTTGATGGAGAATTCCCTGAACCTCCCTCCTCTGTTTAATGTTACTTGTACATATTGTTATAATATGTTGGTTTTACTGTAGTACTACAGCCCAAAAAAGAAAAGAAAGAAAAAGAACTGTAGTTGAAAGTTTACTGTAAAGCTCGGCACAATTCAGCTGTGGCTGCAAGGCCAATCTACAGTTTTTTAACAATAAAGCAATCACTACTACTACTACTACTACTACTACTACTCTGTACCCCCCTCCTCTCTACATGGTACCCCCTCCCCTGTACCCCCTTTAGTCCACCCCCTCACCTATAGCCTCCCTCAGCTGTTCCTGAAACTCCTGCTCCTGTTTGCTCATCTTCATGGAGAACTCTCGGACCAGCTGTTTGAGTTTGGAGCCGTGTGTGTTCTCCTTCTCCTCCAGTTTTCCCTCGTATTCCTGACGCTGGGCTAACAACTGAGAGGAAAAAAAAGACAGTCTGTTTATTTGTGCCTTGTTTGTTTACCATATGGTACAATGGAGGGGGAGACAAAACACTAGATATAAAAATCACCTTTACAAGTTGTCTCCATTAATAGCTGAAGTCAGTTATACATGTATTGCACTTGAAGAGGAAACTTTGGTCACAAAATAAAAATAAATGTAGCTTTCCCAAAAATTTTGAATACAACAGAAAACAAAATCTACCCACTGGCGACATAAAATGAGGGAGCCAGTAACTTTGCATTATCGATAAACATACATGTACTACTAGTACTACACACAAATAATATATTTGTGTTCAAATTCTTGAAGCAAAAATCTGTAAGGGGTGAGCAATGAAAAATTGTACAATTTTAAAACAAACTGCACTTGGAGAAAATGCTCAGATTCTAACAACATGTGACAATGGAAGAAGGATAATATTGAACAAGTTCAACAGAATAGGTATTAGTAGACAATAGTCATCTCTTTGGTTGCATGGAGAATCATACCTTCCCTTCTACTTCCTTCTGCTGCTTTGGGTACAAAGATGTCCAGCATTAAAAATGGAAAACAAGTGAAACAAAACAAACTAAATGTGAAATGGACAAGCACTACACTCCATTGGACAAATAGTGAAATGGTGAATGAATTAGCATGTTAGATGAGGAAAAATTATATGATCATGTTAAATCAAGGTAGATTAATATAATATGATGAAGATCAAGAAATATAAATTTAATGTCATGCAAAATGGTTATCAGCAGTCAAAATACATGCTTTAATCATGTAATTCTGCATTATGATAGGTCAAACCAGTGCCTGAATGCCATGCTGAAGGTTGGTAAACTAAGAAAAAAAGACTCTGAGGTATCTAAATTTTCAAGTCACTTCTTCTTTTATTCAAAACTTCACCTTCTCATTCATCTCCTTCTCGTGTGTCTCAGTGTCAAACTGGAGTTCTGCCCTCAAGTCTTCCAGTTCCTTCTTCATTGTTTTGGCCTCCTTCTTCATGGATGACTTTTCCTTCTGAAATCCCCAAAAAAAGGAACACTTAAAGATTATCTGCACTCTGTATTCACGTTCCGAAATTTTTCTAGAACTATTCATAGAATCTGAAGTACATTGTAAAAGCAAACATATCTCTGTCCAATCTTGATTTCTGCATTTGCCATATTCTATATTACCTTGTACATTGTACCTTTACATGTAGCTGCTCTACTCATACATTGTAGTTGACTTACACTACACTGGATTCTCTGGTAAATTTCACACTCCTAGACATAGTAGGAAGTGTAGGAAGTGTGATAAGGTATGCTCAAAATTGTGTTCAAACATATACCGCACTATTGCATTTCAAGCTTCTTCTCTACGCTTCTTTGCTCACATTCTTAGACATTCAACAACAATTCTCTTACCTTAACCTCTTCTAGAGTCTTCTCCGTCTGTTCCAACTGAGTCTTTAACTTCTCCACCAGACTAGTATTACCACCAGTTTCAGGCGGTGACGTCCCTTGCATGGATGCCTCCTCCTTCTGCTGAACCACTTCTGTGACTGGCACTTCCGTGGCTTGCTGTGGCTCTTTGCTATTCTGGAGTTGCTCTTCAGCTTGTTGCAACTTAGCTTGCAGCTCTGCAATGGTTTTCTCTGCTTCTTCTTTACCCTGAAGTGATTCTTCAGCCTGTTGTAACTTTGTCTGCAGATCTGCAATGACTGATTCCTGCTCTTCTTTCTTCTGCAACATTTCCTCCGCTTGTTGGAGCTTACCTTGCAGCTCTGTGATGGACTGGTTGCTTCCTTCCTGACTTTGCAGCGATTCTTCAGACTGTTGCAACTTTGCTTGGAGTTCGGAGATGACAGTTTCTTGTCCCTCTTTACTGTGAAGTTGTTGTTCAGCCTGCTGTAGTTTGGCCTGCAGCTCAACAATGTTCCTTGTCTGCTGCTCACAGCTGTGAAGGGTTTCCTGCAGGACACTATCCTTCTCCTCCAGTTTGGACTGCAGGTCGGCTAGAAGGGACTTCCTGTCTGACTCCAGTCTAGGAAGAAAAAAAGTATGAAGATTCTTAAACCACATGAATTGCATGCAGAACAAGCAGAGAAAAAAAAACTTTGCCTAAACCTCCAAACTTTTTCCCCAAAGGTACTTGAATAAGCATTAGTCATACCAGGTTACAATGGCAATTAATGTCAGTTTATCCAAGAATACAAGATTGATGTACCAGAATTAAAATCATTGTACCAGGATGTCTCAAAATCTACTACTGTCCTTAATTTCCTAATGGGAAAATTCCACTCGACTAAAATTGGACTAAAGTTGTTTTCCTTTGTAAATAACCTTTCCCTTTCAGTCTGCAGTTGTTCCTGTGCAGCCTGCAGCTCTGTCTGCAGCCTTGTCACCTCCTCAGCCTGTGTTCCTGCAGCAGCAGCCTGGGATTGCTGCAGCTGCTGCAGTGTCTTGTCCTTCTCCTGCAGCTGTTCCTGCAGGGCTTTCTTCACCTGAGCAATCTTCTGCTCTGCTTTCTTCTTCAAGTCAGCAAGATTGGATTTTCCCTGTAAGCAACAGCAAGAAAAGACCATTTTCAGTCATGATTTTCATCTTACTACATGGTATACTGGTATTTGCGAATCAAAAACATTGCTGATGCTTTAAGAACTTTTTGTGAAAGCAGAATTAGCTTTTGTCTGCAAATAGCTATACCGGTAAAATATCTATACTGGTACATATGGTAAAATATGGTTAATACTTTTTGACTGTCATTATTATGTATTGCAACAAGACTAAGATTGACTTATTAGAAAGACCTAGCTTATTTAGACTTGGCCTATATTATAGCATAGCAGTTTCTAATACCTATGATACTTATGCCAGCACTACCAAATTGGTCACAGATTTAGGGTGGGACACATTAAAGGACAGACGCACAGCAAGTAGACTCACATTACTTCAGAAAGCAAGACACTCAAAAACAGCCCTTCCGGTCAATCCCGCGCCAATCGCGACACTTCAACTCCAACTCATACAAACCTCTAACGTTTCACAAAGACTGCTACAAATATTCATATTTTCCACAAACTGTCAGAGATTGGAACATTTTGCCCCAAGAGATAACTGATACTGCGGAACCCACGAAGTTCAACGCTGCAGTACTACAACACCTGAGGAAGCAGCAATAACGCATCGCACAGCTCCCCTGCACGTTTTACCCCAATCTAGGGGTGTTGTGCAGTACCCGAACAAGACAAGACAAGAGTTTATAAAGATCAGAAAACAATCAAACACCTTTTCCGCCAGTTCTGTTGCTTGAGTCTGCAGGGCCTCTGTCTTCTCCTGCTGCAAGATGGCCACCTTGTCAGACAGTTCCTTGTCCTTCTGCTCTAGTGCTGTTTTGTACTCCTCACACTCTAGCTTGACTTCTTCAATCTGAGCGGTGAAGACACTTACTTCATTCTCACTTGTCTCAAGCTTCTGCAGAAGGCCCTGATGTTTTTCCGTCTCCTCTTTCAGAGAGTCCCTTTCTCGGACGACTTCGTCGTACTGCATCTGTCTGAACTCCATCATGTGGTCAAACTCTGCAACTTTCTTCTGAGCTTCTGCAAGTCTCTCTTCCAATCCTTCGTTCTGTTCCTGACTTTCTGACAGCTGCTGTTTCAAAGATGCTAACTGTTCTCCCAGCTGGTTTTTCTCTGCTTCTGTCTGTGTTGCACCTTCAGCATGTGTTCTTCTTGACTCCTCCAACTCCTTCAGCAAGTTAGCTTTCTCTTCAGAATCTTGTTTTAGCTTATCCTGGCTCTCTTGACATTGTGATTCTAGTGTGCCTATCTGATTGGCATTATCTTGTAAGGTTGACTCAAGTTCTTTTATTCTTGTTTCTCTTTCAGACACTGCAGCCTCGTGCTCTTGTTTCTGCGTTTGCATCTGTGTTTGTAGTTCTGAGATCTTATTTTGAGCCATGGCAATCTTCTGTTCTGCCTTTTTCTTCAGCTCTCCAAGCCGAGTTTTTGCTTTGCTCTCCAAGTCGGAAGCTTGCTCCTGTAGGACCTTGGCATTCTCTTCCTGAAGTTTCGAGATTTCTGCCACCTTCCTCTCTTCCGCTATCCTTGCAGCCTCTTGCTGGTTTTGACACTCGGTTGTGAGCTCTGCAAGCCTGGTTTGTAGCAGCTGGCTTGCTTGACTACTATCTAGACTCTGTTGCTGAAGGTCTGAAAGTGATTTTTTGAGTTCTGCTATTCTGGTTTCTCTCTCCTGAACTTGAGCATCACAGCTTTCTGTCTTGACCTTGAGCTCTTCCTGGAGGCTTTTGACCTTGGATTGGAACTCTCCAAGCCTCTGCTCAGCTTTCTCCTTAAGTTTTGTCAGCTTTGCCTGAGCCTGTTCTTCAACCTCCTTGACACGCTTCTCTAATTCTGACTGCTTTTCCTTCTCAAGATCAGCATACTTCTGGCAGTTTTCCTGCTCTTTGACTGACAGCTGTTCCTTCAGCTGGTCTACCTCCCCCTGCAGCTGTGCCACCTGCTGTTCATACTCCCCAACCTTCTGTTCAGCTGTTTGCTGCTTGGATTCCAGTTCTTGTATCCTGGTCTGGCTGTTCTGAGTCTCTGCTTCAAACTTCTGTGCAGTCTGGTCTTGTGTTTCCTGTAGCTTTTTCAGCTCACTCCTTGCCTGCTCCAGCTCAGCTTGTACTTTTCCCAACTCCTCCACTTTTGTGCTACCATCCTGTTGAAGCGCTTCAAGCTGTTTTTCCTTCCCGCTCATCACGTCCTGTAACTCCTGGATGGTGCCCTCTCTGGTCTTCAACTTCTCCTGCATCTTTTGGACCGTTTCCTTGAATTGCATCTTCAAGTTCTCAGCCTCTTTTTCCATCTTGGAGATTGTCTCGCTCTTTTCTTCAAGGGAAGCTTTCCACTTGGTCTCCACCTGTTCCAGTTGTTGCCGGTGTTGTTGTGTGAGATCCTGAAGCTGCTGCTGGTATTCTGATACTTTATTCTGCAGGTCCTGCTGCAGCTCCTCAGCACCAAGCTTGGCTTGCTCCTCCTTCTCTTTAATCTGCTGCCTCAGCATCTCCACCTCCTGGGTGAACGAAGCCTTCTGGGATTCAAGCTTCTCTTGGTACTCGCTTACAGACGACTTGTGCGTCATGGCAAGCTTCTTAAGCCGTGCTCCCGCTTCTCCCAGCTTGTCTTTTGTCCCCTGAAGTTGTTGAGACTTCTCATCAAGCTGCCCTTGTAGGCCCTTAACAGTAGCCTGGTATTCCAAGTCTTTGTCGACAAACTCTCCTACCCTGTTCTCAAACTGTAGCCTCTGTTCCTCCATGTCTGCCTGCAGTTTTTTCTTCATCTCGATCATGTTGCTCTCATGTTCTGTGTGGAGTTGTTGCAGCTGTCCTTGGTGCTGAACGGTCAGTTGCTCCAGCTGTGTGGAGTGCTCCTCTCGGAGCTGCTGCAGTGAGGCCTGCATTTGCTGTACTGTTTCCTGCACCTGCAACAAAAAAAATATATTACTGGAAAAAACTCTCTACTTTAACACTATGGTTAAAATAAAGAAGTATTTTTTAATAAAAATTTGGCTTAATACATCAAAAATGCAATAGCTGCTATTGCTTTCTATGTGTGTGATAATATCTGTCTTTCTATCCTGTAAACAAAATTTTGAGACACCAAACCTAAATATGAATCTATTAGCAAAGCATTGAAAAAAGCAATGTACTGCTGAAAATAGACATAAACGTACATGTACAGCTACAATTGTACACATGTGTATAACTGAGAAGAGTATAGAATTTTGATCCATACCTTGTTTGTATGCTCAGCCTTCATAGCTTCCACAGACTCAGCATGCTGCGTCTCTAGTTGTGACAGAGCCTCTGACTTCTCTCTCTCCAGCCCCTCCAACCTCTGCTGCCACTCAGCTTCCTTAGCAGTCATCACTTCCTGCAGCTCCTGCTGCTTCTTCTGCAGCCCTGAATCCCGCTCTGACTGCACATCCTGCAAGGCCTTCTCCTTCTCCTCTTGGATTGTCTTGAATTGCTGGGAAAATTCCTCTTCTTTCGTTCTCAGAACGGTTTGGTGATGTTCTTCAACTTCCTTACGAACAGTCTCTACCTTCTGTTGCCATTCTGCTTCTTTAGTTGAGAGCAGTTCTTCCACTTCTTTTTCCTTGTTCTGCAGAGAAGATTCCTTTTCTGACTGAAGGTCTTGAAGAAGTTTGTCCTTTTCCTCGTGAACTGCTCTGATCTGCTGTGAGAATTCCTCCTCTTTTGTCCTCAAAAGAGAATCTTTCTGCTCTGTGATCTCCTGGACCTTCATCTCCCATGCCTTCTCTTGCTCACTAAGCTTCAAGCTCAGCTGTTCTTCCTTTTCTTTCAGAACGTTTTCAAGCTGTGCAGATGCTTCTCCCTGCTGTCCTTCAGCTTCTTGTCTGATCTCTTGAATTTGCTTTGAATATTCCTCATCCTTCGTCTTCAACAACTGCTCATGTTCGGCTTGTAATGTCTTCACCCGATTCTCTGCCTCTTTACTTGCAGTGTTCACTTTCTCGGACAGGTCTTCTTCCAGCTTTCTCAGTGCTGCTTGGTGTTGCTCCTGTGCCTGCTGTAGGTCCCTGCTTGCTTGTTCCTGAGCTGCAGTGAGCTCTGTCTCCCGGCTGTGCAGGTCTGCTTGCACCTGGTTAGCACTGGCCTGCAGTTGGGTACGCTCCTCTTCTAGTGAAGCAATCCTAGCAAACATCTGTCCTTCCCTCTCAGATGTCTCGGTCTTGTTCTTCTCCATCAAGAAGGTGACTTTTTCCTTCAACTCTTCTTCACGTTTCTCAGACTGCTGTAGTTTCTGTGTCCAGGCCTCTTCCAGCTGTTCCAACCTTGTCTTGGCCTCCCTTTCCGCACTCTCAAGGGTGGACTGCAAATTCTTCATCTCAGATTCGTGTGTTGCCTGAAGTGCCTCTACCTCTCTTTGGTTTTTATTACTAATTTCTTGAAGCTGGTTCTCAAGCCCCTCCTTGATGTTTAGCGCTTCTTTCGCTTTCTCCTCCAGTTGGTGTCCTAGCTGCTGCCTTTCGTTGTTGAAGGATTCTTGAATTTCCTTTGAATCAGCTTCATACTTTTGGGTAAGTTCTCGTATTCTTACCTCTAACTCTTCAACCTTAGCGGACATTTCTGTTTCTTTCTCTTGAAGGCTATTTTTCAACTGTTCTCTTTCATTATTGAATGAATCCTGGGCTTCTTTAACTTGCTCTTGATGCTTTCCTTGCATCTCTTGTATTCTTAACTCAATATCTTGCACCCTACTTGCCTCTCCCTCCTTAGCTGACAGCTGATCTTGTAGCTGTTTTCTTTCACTATGTGAAGATTCTTGAAGCTCCTTGAATTCTGCTTCATGTTTCTGATTCAACTCTAGTATCTTTGCTTCCAGTTCCTCAAACCTGTTTGTTGCCTCCTTCTCCTTTTCTTCATGATCTCTAAGAAGTTGCTCCCTTTCTGTCTTGAAGGTCTCCTGTAGTTCTTTGACCTGGGTTTGGTGTGTGGAGGTTAGCTCTTGTACGCTTGTTTCTAAGCCTTGCACCTTCTCGGCTAGTTCCCTCTCTTTGGTTTGCAGTGACTCGACCATCTCCGAGGATTTCTTGTAGGTTTCATCCTTCTCTACAATCTGCTGCTGGTGTTCTGTGGTTATCTACACAGAAGTAAAATATGTTAATCAGGCCTTTGTTGGAAAGGACAATTACATGACTGTATGTGAAGGACAATTATGTGAAGGATGATATTTATTAACTTGACTAAAGACATGTACATGGGTAAGTTGGCAAGACACCATAAAAATTTAAAGATTATCTTTACTAAAAATTGAAATAATTACAATGGATGTACATCAAAATCAATATATGCATGTGCTGGTGACAGGTGGCTAAGCCACTTGCCATAAGCGAAACTTGTAACTATAACTGCACAGGTATTTTATATCCTACAGATATGTACTTGACAACATCAACTACATCAGATTCTTATGTTATCTCATCCATACCTGTTGAATCGTGTTCTCCAGTTCCTGTACCCTGTGCTGGTACTGTGTAACCTGTGCTGCCACCTCGCTGCCCTTCCCCTCCAGAGCTCCCTGCAGCCCGGACAGCTCCTTCTGGTGCTGTTCCCTTAGCTGGCTCATCTAATTTAAGGTGTTAAGATACCAGTATTAATTAGCGATACATAATAATTATTTGTTCTTATCTAATAATTATAATAATTATCCGTACTATTTGATCAATTACTGTTATGTGTCATACAATTAATGTTTGTCGGAGGAAGATCGCAGACAGGCGATAACGGCTTTTTATCTTCCCCCCACATATCTTATTTTGCTATGGTATGTTTATTTTATTACTTTGATTATATGCTAATAAACAAACAAACAAATATACAAACCTTCTCTGTTAGATCTTTCTGGTGAGTCTCCTTAAGCTGGGCCACGGTGGTGTTGTGCTGGTCTCGGAACTGTTCCAGCTTGGCACGGAACTTCTGCGTCAGGTCTTCTAGTTCTTTTCTACAAGACGAAACAAGTTAGACAATCAGAGAGTAAGCCTACTTTCGTTTACATGTCTCTCAGTACTGCAATGTTCTTACCAGGTATGAACATTAGGAGTACACAAACCTTTCTATTCTAAGACTTCATTTCACCTGATAATCTGAGTGCCTTTGATTCATTTTTACAGTTTATGTGGTGACTTAAAGTTATGATCTTCTCTCATCAGAATCTGGCCAGGAGCCAGCAGGAATTACATGAATGTAGACATGGGGGAATTCTGGCAGACAAGGACTGCATACTTTCCAGGAGTCTAAAATCTCTGATCTCTTGTTTCTGCTACAGTTACATGTATGATGTCTGATCTAAAGAGTGAGAACGATAAAAACTAGCTTAAGTGCACTGTGAACTATGTAACACCTTTAGTGCACTATGCACCAAGTAACATCTAGTGTCAGTGCACAGTAAACCAGTCAGAATTGCCCTGATGAAGATGACAGACGGTCATCGAAATGTCGGCTCTTGAAAAATAAATGGTTGTGATGAAAGAACTTTGCTATTCAGTCGTTTACCAACCTGATGAAATTATTTACGGATGGTAAAGAGTGAGAAGTTCTTACTTGTGAGCCTCTTCTTGCTCCTTCTGCCTTGTCTCCCATTGCTGGATGGTGTCGATGGTCTCCTGTAGCTCTGTCTCGTGTTTCTGAGTCAGGCTCTCCAGCTGCTGCTTACCCATCGTCTCCAGGTTAGTCGTGATCTACACAAACAAACAAAAACATAAGAATGCAAGATTCAGTTACCTACTTGTGTGTGTGGCATTTTCAATTAACCCTTGTCCTGCTGGAATATTTTAAAGAATATTTTTCAATTTCATGTCTTAATCAGGTCATAGACCCCCTGCCTTTTTTGCCCTCCGGTGGAGTAGTTGCGTTTTGCTGCGGTGTGATGCGTTACACAAGAAATACCCCAAATCGTACCTATACAGGGTGCTATATGGGTGGTACTGTATGAGCAACCCATATACATGTATGTATGGGCTCTGCAGGGCAAGGGTTAATATATAGTAATGGTTTCTATAAACATCATTCAATATCTTTTACAGAGTTCATGTACAGGTACATTGTATCATCAATATCTTTTACAGAGATGAGTTCATGTACATGTTGTACAGGTATCACTCTCTCAGTGGAGGTCCACTGTGCACCAGGATAGAGGAGATGTGGAGGGAAGCACACCAACAAAAATAAAAAATTTCAAAAGCTGCATGAGATATAAAAAAATGTAAGGATGAAAATATCTGAGACAAGAAAGCCTTGAAAGTTATGTTTTCTGTTATGGACTGCATATGCCATACAGTAATGTTTGAATTATAGCAGATACCAGTGAACAGCAAGATTTGAAAAAAAATCTGATTCTTTTTTTTTTTCAAATTTGTCCATTTTTTGTTTGATGCATGTCTATTTTCTATAAGTTCTTACAACAATATTACTGAGTGCAAAGGATGCAGAAAGAAGGCAAGGCAGTTTCAGTATTTTTCTGCACATGCTGCTTAGAAAATATCTTTTGACACCAAGTCTTGCTACTGCGGTGCTTTGATTATTGTGTATCTTTCTCCTCATGTTTCTCCAGTACACCACTGCCTCAGCATTTTCAAAATCAATTGTCAATTAGTGAGACTCCTTTAAGTGCAGCAGAAAGAAGGCAGAGGAGTAAAGACAGTAGTTTTTCAGCACATGCTGTTTAGAAATCTCTTGACACCAAGTCTTGCTACTGCTGTGCTTATAGATTGTTGTACACATGTATATCTTTCTCCTCATGTTTCTCCAGTACACCACTGCCTCAGCATTTTCAAGAATAATTGAGTGAGACTCTTTTATGTGCAGCAGAAAGAAGGCAGAGGAGTAAAGACAGCAGTAGTACCTCCTCTACTTCCTCCTCTCTCCTGGCCACAGCCTCCAGGAGCTGGCACACAACAGGGTTACAGGAAGGCAAAAGAAGGAAAATTACAACATCTGGGGAAGAAGGGAAGAGAGGACTTTGTACAAGCTGAAGGTTCCAATATTTCCAGACAGCTTTAAAGATGGTTTTGTTCTCATTTTGGTGCACCACCTTGTTTTTAATCTCTTTAAAAAGCAAATATAAATTCTGACAAAGCAAGTATTAGTTGGTAGAGGATTGTTTCAAATTCATTCAATTTGAAAGAATATTGGCTGAAAGTGTAGGCAGAAATTTCTTGAAGACTAAGCCAAGAAATGATTGATATAAACTTTACAACTTGTTGTATTTTTTTCATGAAACTCTTTAGACTTGGAATTTGTGGTATCCTTCAGAATGTACAAAAGTCCTGGAAAAGGACATGAAGAAGAAAAAATTCTATGAAAGGGCTAAATAAAAATGAGAAATGGTTTCTAATGAAGAAGGAGGCAATACATTAAGAACTTGTGGCTAATCTAGTAGGTAAACTGACTTTTACATCTATTCACTTCAAGCCATTTCTGTGAAAAGAAAATAAGATGAGAAAAAGTCCAAGTAAATTTCCTTGACTATCATGAAAGTTCATCTGTGTTGGTAGTTAAATATTTAAAGTTAAAACTTTTGGTCCAACACAAAAAATTATCTCACCTAGAGCTTTCGACCAGGGCCCATCACCCTTCATTGCACCGCAACGGGGCCGACATTGTCTACCAGACACCTTTGACCCAGTGTTGACGTCACACTTCAAAGAAGCCACGTGACAAGCTTCACTGGGTCAGTCTACTGAGAAAGACCACAGTGACTGGTCGAAAGCTCTAGGTGAGAGAATTTTTTGTGTTGGACCAAAAGTTTTAACTTTAAACATAAATTTCCTTGAGACTTTTCCTTACTTCTTCAATCTCTGCCTCCTTGGAACCAAGCACGTCTTGAAGCTGCTTGTCCTTCTTGGTGGCCAGTTCTGCCAGCCTACCCTCCCACTCTGCCCTCTGCTGTTCCAACAACTGACCCTGAAACAAAAGGGTTTGGATACGTCAATGAAGGTTTGATATGAACCAAACAAGGTAATGAAGAAAAGAAGATACAGAAGAAAACTGTAACTCAAGTAACTTGATAGATTTTTAAATTCTGTCAGACGTTTCAAGTTGCATCCACTACTTTTTGTTGGATGCTACTTGAAACATTTTATGACACCATAACCTCATCAGTGGTGAATAATGATCCCTCACAAGTGGTGATGTTAAATCCATAATCACCCTGACCAAAAGGGTCAACCGATTCACTAGGTACATTGTATGAGATCAGACTCAGTCACCCTCTTTGTGTTTGACATATCGTGCAATGGATGATGCAGTACTGCTACAGTTTTTCCTCAGAGAACTTTCTGAAACAGATTTGCTTTTATTTCAATCTACCCCCATCTTTAAGACGTTCTGACCCCCACCTTAGCCTCCAGTTGCTGTAAGTTCTAATTCCTGTTCTTGTTTAAGAATCCCTTAGGACATAATCTACCCCCCATCTTTAAGACGTTCTGCCCCCACCTTCACATCCAGTTGTTGTTCTAGTTTCTGTCCTTGTGTTGATAGTTTTATCTAACATTCCTGGACCAGGTCCTGTAGTAACTACATGTATAGTAGCCATCATTTCATTTTGGAAGATGAAAGGCCTACTTAAGTATAATTTGCCCCCATCTTCAATCCTAAGCCTATCAAGCCAGGGCCACTCAAAGACTGCCATTACCTGCATGGGTGCCACCAGGGGGCAGAAGGAAGAGAGGTTGGCAAAAGAACACCTGGTGAAGAACTTTTCAAGAGGGCCTCAAAAGGGCAAACATAACCTGGGAAGAGGCTGAGATGAAAGCTTGTTGTCTAGTGTGCCTGTAGGCACAGGAGGGCCTAAGGTCTAAGGTAAGGTCATCTTTAAGACGTTCTATCCCCACCTTCGCCTCCAGTTGCTGCTGCAGCTGGTGTTCCCGTGCTGACAGCCTGGCCTGCCACTCCTGGTCCTTCTGTAACAGCTGCTCCTCCACAGCTGAGGCAGACTCCAGACCTCCTGAAGACTGCTCCACGTTCCCGTTGGTCTTGTTGTTCTGTGTGGAAGGGACAAAATAGTTTTATTGTTTTGGAATAAAAATTCATCTATTACAGTAAATGACATTACAACATGTACCAACAAGCTTTAGTGAGATCTCTGACCCGTGTCAAGTTGGCATTTGTAGTATAAGCACTTTCTTTTGTGTACTGGAATAGCATTTTAGATCTTCATATTGTACTATCAAATTATGATTTAACCCAAACATATTGTTCATCTCTAAATCTACAATAAAATCATAATATATTATCTTTTTATATGAATTTTTCAATGTTGTCTTATTGATGTGCAGGGTTAAGACATAAGCTTTTGAAAGCTATGAGTATTCAAATTCAAAAGTCTGACACAAAATATAATATTGTGCTCTGTGCAGTTTTATACTGTAAAAGCAACTCACAACAGAGATGACTTTATGAGGAAGACCAGTTTTTTGGCTAAAGAATTTCATAGTTATTCCTCACCTGTTCCAGTTCCTTAAGTCGTGCCTTGAGTTCTGACACCTCCTTGTCTTTGCTCTTGTCACCTCCTGAAGACTTCCCCAGCTCTGCAGATACTACAGGAGAGAACAACCAAGGAGTCATTTTCATACTTTCAAGAAATTTAACAATCCAGTGTTGACTAACATAAATTCTACCTTCTATCTATCTGACAGTCTGCATTATCTTATCAGTAAGGTTATCCCTTCTAAAAACCACCAACTAGTTGTCCAGCCCTAGCTATAGCTATGCATAATGCTGCAGCAAAGCAATAAGAAGGTGTACATGTACATGTAATTGTAAGCTGCTACTAGAAAACACATGCACTTCTATACGTACATGTAGCTTGCTACTTGCAAGACCTTGCTACAAATTCTTGCTGCTGCATAATCTTAGCAGCCTACCAGGAAAGCAGGCAGAGTTGGAAATGAAAGTAGACAAAGCTGGAGGCCGAGTTTGATTTCTTCTACATTGTGTATATGATGACTACTGTTACTGTAAGTCTTTGTATACTGTTATCTGCAAAATTTTGTCTGAGACCAATTTTCTTCAGGACCTTTTTTCTCATGCTTTCTTTTTTTGTGCTTGCAAAATATCTTCTTGAACCAAGTTGAAAAATAAGATATCATAATGACAATTGACAACAGATGGTAGGGCAATTTGAAATGTATGATTTGTATTTTTGTATTCACAGCACTAGTGAAAGATATTGAGGATTCAGAGTCCTAACCAAAACTTTAACCCTTGTCCTGCTGGCAATTTTTACACAATGTTTTCAAATAATTTCATGCCTTAATCCGGTCACAGACCCTTGACTTTTTTTGGCCCTGCGGTGGGGCAGTTACTTCCGCATTCGTTGCATTTTGCTGGGATGTGATGCGTTGCACAAGAAACACCCCTAAATCGTACATATACAGGGCACTATATAGATAGTACCATCGATGGTACTGTATGTACAACCCACATGTATATATGGGCCCCCCAGGACAAGGGTTTTAAGGAAGTGTTAGACAGCCTACAAATGTATCAACTACACTATCCTATGAGCCATGTTACATGTACTCACACAGACAGGAGTCCAGCGATGGAACATGCAACAGAGAAGTGGTGAGAGTTAGTGGTTATGGCTGAGAGTGGTGCATAGATAGGTTTTTTGCTATTCTATTCTATGCAATGACTAATCTCTTATTTCTGCCAGGTTCCTAATACTGCCACATTTGAAACTATAGTGAAGTCAACGAGATCTAAAAATTGAATGCACCATCTGTAACGATCCCAGAGGTACATGTATGCATATACTTCAGAAATCTATGTTTGTTCAAGATATTCTTGTCTTGTGAATGCCTTTTTGATTGATAGCACTGTTCTTCAATGTGGCAGTCTTAGGGTACTCAGTGAAATTCTGAGGGTTGACATCTTGTTATGGTGATTTATAATTGGTGCACACAGTGTGAAGTTAGATTATGTTTAATGGTACAACACTGCCTAAGGCCACACCAATTTAATTTGTTGGTTCTTGGATTCGCCTCTTCATTTTTTTCTGATTTGCCAAAAAAAAAAAAAAAATTTGGTTTTGAATCAACTCAAAAATGCTCATATTTTGCCCCCAACAGTTGAGGAAATTCCTTTTCTTCCTAGTTGTTACAGTTTTTTCCATCTTCCAATGCAGTGGTTTGATTAAAAGTTCAAAATTTATACTTTAAATTTTAACCCAGCCTTTTGTGTTGACTTCATGGCTCATATTGTAGCATTTGGGGCTATAATAGGATGTCTAGACCTGTTTTTATTTTTATTTTTTTCGCCCTGTCGCTTCATATTTTTTCTGAAAAAATCTGAGAACCAACAAATTAAATTGGTGTGGCCTAAGGTGAATTATATCTTTGACTATTCAGCATTTCTGTATTGGGAACAAAATTTCCCAACCATACAACTACACATACTATTAATATGCATGTAGGCAGCAAGTTATTTCTACTAATCTAAGGTGAATGGTCAGACTACAGGGTAAGAAGTAAGGGTCATAATCATAGAAACAGCATAACAGTGCTCACCTATCTTCTGGGCTTGTAGTTCTGCCTTCAGCTGCTTGATTTCTTTATCTTTGCCTTCCAGACTCTGCGACAAGAAAATGAAAAAAGTGTGTTTTATGATCGACTTCATAGTAATTTAAAAAAAAAGGTTTCCTTTATTTTTACCATTAACATATTCTCCTGATAAGAGACTGAACCAAATCAAGAAATGTAAGCTAGCCTGACCTGCAGTAAGTCCTGATGTTGTGACGTCAGAGCGCGGCTGGATTTGGTGCTGGACTCCAGCTGCTCGATCAGGTGCCGAGCATCCTGCAGCTGGCCGTCCAGCCGCACCTGCTCTTTGTCCTTCCACTCCTAGTGAAGCAAAAAAATACAGAAAAAGTTTTACATGCACTTAATGGCGTGTCTGCGTGCCCCAAAATCCGTAGGATTCCGTACGGAGGTGGTACTCACCACGAACGGATGCCCTACGTTTTCCCACGTTTTTGCACATAGACAGCATGCAGAAGCACGTACGGTGGGTTGTGACCAGGTTGTGACAAACAAACAAACAAACAAACAAACAAACAAGCAAACAAACAAACCTGTAGCTGCTGGGCCAGTTGAGTCTTGCTCTCCAGCTCCGTGGCCAGTTTCTCCTTCTCGCTGGTCAGCTGAGCTGTGCGCTCCTTGTTGTTCTTGATCATGTCCTTACATTTGTTCAGCAGATCCTCAAGACGTCGCACCTTCTCCTTAAGGATCACGTTCGTCTTGGACAGCTCTGAAGAATCTTGGTAAACACAATCAAAGAACTTGTGTCAAGAATCAGTAGTGGAAACATACATAATTTCAATTAAAACAAGTTACATTTTACATTTGATCTACTTTTAGTCTTGATCAATAAATTCTACTTCCAGCCCTAAAAATATGACCCAAAACAACTCCAGAATTGAGAATGTTTTCTTTACACTTAACTCTAGAGAAAGAATTTATGATATTGAGCAATTGCAAGTATTTTGTACAAAACCTAAAGACAAGTTATACTGTAGTTATACTATAATTAGTTATACTGTAAGTATTTCAGATAGTTATACTGTAAGTATTTCAGATAATTATACTGTATCAAAATGTCAAAAAACACATAACATAGAAAGGTACAAGACAAGTTAAGAAATTGTAGACAAGTACCGTCAAATATCTTCACAATATTCCATACACATGATCCATGCTAGTCTACAGTTTCTATAAATTCAAAATGGCACAAATTTGAGAATCATGGTTGACTCACCAACAGTGTCCCCATCTCCCTTGGCATTGGCACTCCCTTCAGCAGCATTGTCCAGGTTTCCTTGCTTTAGCAGCCTCACCTGACACAGATAACAACAAAATTGATGTTACTCCAACCAAACTACATTATACTGTGTGATAATCAATAAAACTTGATTTATGTATTTTATGACAGGCCTCAAAATTAACTGTTCATACTATTGTCCCAGAATTGTCCCAAACATAGATTTCAATTGTCCCGAACTGAGGATGGACTGTCACAGCCTGCTTTTCAGGAAATAAGTTTATGACAACAATAAGAAAACAACGACAACTGAATTTGTACAACATGATAGTACATGTATCATGGGCATGGCACCATCTTTGAGGCCCCCCTAGAATCCCTGATTGGTCAAATTTAAATGTTTGAACATAAATTTGAATATTATGGGCTGCATGGATGGATTGCATTTTCTAAACGACTTGGATGGTCTCAGTTGCCCCGAAACTGTCCCGAAATGTAATTTGAATTGTCCCAAGCTGAAAATTTAGTGTCATTTGACACTGGGACAATGTTAATTTCGAGCCCTGTATGATATTCCATATCTGTGAGTTGTGGTGTGGTGTGGTGTAGTGGTAGAGCATCCAACTGTCAAGCAAGGGAACCCAGGTTCAATCCCCAGGGTTGGACCCAGACATATTCGGACATGCACCCAGACGTTGTGGCCTTGGAAAAGGCACTTTACACACACTCCCCCCTCAATTAGAGAGATCCTGGGCCCTACTAGGGTTTGGGTTGGCGTTAGGGAGGGCATCCAGCCATAAAAAAATCTTGCTTAAAAGAAGACTTGAAGTTGATGCAACTGAGCTCAATCCTCAGTTTCAGGGGGAAAAGACGTTAAAACTGGATAGATAGATAGATAGATAGAGAGAGAGAGAGAGAGAAAGAGAGAGAGAGAGAGAGAGAGAGAGAGAAAGTAAGTATACAACCTGTGTCTGTAGAACTCCGATGAGTTCATCCTTCTCCTCCAAGTTGAAGCGGAACTCCTCCTCCAGGTGTCGTTTGGCCTGCTGGTCCAGGGCTGCTGCCTGGAATAACACAGCAAGGGCAATATAAACATTGGTCGACTCTTTAAAAAGATTGTTGCATTATGTGAGGTACAAAATTAGCAGATGTGTGACTTGAACTCACTTCTGCTGACAGATTTATAAAGAGGTGATGCTGTCTACAGTCAGTACTTCCTCCCCTTTATGAAGAGCATCTATCTTTCCAACAACTGTATTTAGTAATTTGTTAGTTTCATAGTTTATATCTTTTGACGATATAAAATGACTTGATAGTTTTTTTTAGAACTTCCCTTCAAAGTAGTTATGCCTTGTGTATTAGCAGGTACTACATGTAGTACTTCATGTTATTGTAACCACTGAGTTACAAAACACTCAATTCTGTTGGCTTTGGCTTTGTTAGAAAAAGACCTTGTATCAAGTATCAGCATAGCAACTTTTATTACACTAAACCCGTTTGGTAAATAAATAGGCACTGGTATTTTCTAACGACTCCAATGTGCCAAACAAGATGCAAATAGGATATACCTAACACACCCTACAGAAAGATCAATGAGCCAGCTACAAGCTCATTCATGGTTCTTAAAAGGAAACATTGTTCAAGTTTCTTTGTATAAATAGAGGACTTGAAGGGCACTGCACAGTTGAGGTGGTGCAGTGGAAACAAGACAGTGCAACTCGTCTTAGAACTGCCAAAAATTGAGTCTGACAGTAACTGTTGATGACAGTTGGAACTACCATAAACTTTTCAAGGAAGTACATTGTACATGTAAGTACCTTTTTCTCCAATTTTCCTTCCTAATTTACTGTACTGGGTTTAGCTAAAGCGTAAAGGTATAACATTCTGTTCTCTTGAATTAAGAACTTGTCTGAGACTAAATCCTTAAGAACTTGTCTGAGACTAAAACCCATATGGTGCCTTGTTTAATACTTACACTTAGTCTAGTATCTTGGTATCTTACAATGTACAATGCAACTTGAAACGTGAAGGTTCAGGACCGATAAGTTTGCCTCAGCTTGATGTGCCTTTCCACCCAAAATCCTATTTGCAAAAGGTGATTCATTGGTTTCTACCAGTCCCGCACACACAGGTGTGATATTTGACCCAAATCCATGTTGACGTTTTATGACTCTCTATTCCACCAGGAGGCTGCGGTGACGTCGTTGGTGTTCTTAATCTAATTAACTACAATATAGCTCTGAATTCACTACTCTGTTAACATTAGTACATAAAACAAGGGAAATCGTAGATTTCAAACCTCCAGGTTTTTTTGTGTTCTATTGGTTTAGGTTATTTGTTTGTGTGTAGTATGAAAGTTATGTGCGTAATATGTTTGTATGTGTTTGATGGCTACTGACAGTTGGTTCGGTATGGACTGTTGATTAACGTGTCTCAAGTCTGACATCCTGCACCGTCACCCCCGCCGTCATCCCGCGCCGTCATTGCTGCGCCGTCACCCAAAATTTTTATCGGAACCAGGCACCCCTCTGTTTGACTCATTTTGAAACCGCCCCATTCCTTAACAACATGGTAATTACCATTTTCAGCATGGCGGGGGTGTCCGGAGCACTTAAAAACCTTTTATTTCGACACCCATAAACACATATGCAATTAAACAAAAACGTTCTGCATCATCTGCAGCCCAATAGCAATACGTATACCGAACCACAGACAAATCCGTCCAGCCGATCGCGAGAAATAGCTGCTGACAGAAATGTTTCGAACCATAGTAAAACCTCCTCGCGGAAGGATATCTCCTTCCCCGGAGGTAATAACATCTCAACGAAATGAAAAGAGTAAAGAGAAGCCAGAGGACGAATAATCACTTGAGAGAAAATTAGGTAGGCTGTAGTCAGCATGTCAGTCGTTCTGTAATCACGATGTTTGTCATATCTTATCCAAAGGACATACATACACTATATAGTAAATTAGATGAAGAAAACCGATGATGTCACCGCAGCCTCCTGGCGGAATAGAGAGTCATAAAACGTCAACATTGCACCTTTCTTTGATTGCAGAAGTACCGACTTGAAGTGGATTTGAAGCACAAAAAAGAACTGTTTCAGTGTCAAGGATCACTACATACCAGGTATGACTTTCAGTTTATCTTGAGAAGCAAACATTACCAGTTGGCCTATGTATAGGCTGGCTAACTATCACAGCGGTCGGTTGCTAGGCTAAAAGTCGCATTACTAGCTATAGGGAGGTATCGGGTTACAGAACGCGTTCGAACGTGGCCGCGCGGGAGTCCCAGGCCGGCCCGGGGGCAACGGGTAAAATTTGAAAATAAACAAATAAAGTAATTGGAGAGTAAATACTCGTCAAAATAAAATGTAATAAGTGATTTTGTTTACCTTAAATGTTATTCTTGCACTGCCTTTGCTCCACTTTGTGTACATTTGCTTCCAAATGAGATCAATTTCGGATTTCAAAAAGGGTTCACGAGAACCAAACAACTGATTTTAAGAGGCCCCGAAAATTAAAAATAAGGTTAGATTTTTGGATTTTTAGAAATATTACAGTAAATTTAAACTTTTTGTCTTAGGATTTTTTATTTTTTAACTAAAACTCGACTTACAGTCAAAAGAAGAGCTAAAAACGCAGTGTTTTAACTTTAAATACCGATAATTCATAATCGCGGCCATATTTAAAAAATCCCTAAGACAGAAATCTGCGGAAATCGTTGCTCTTCCAAACAAGCCCTCAATGAGGTAATTTGAGCGATTTTTGGGAATGGTTAAAATACCATGTTTGCATGCGTGCTATGACACTTGGATATGGGGACCTGGATTTTATAACAGCGTATACAAGAATTCTGACCTTCAAGGTCACCCACGATGGCGGCAGTAGCTTCGTTACATGTTACATATCCACAATAAAATCACGGCATAGATGTAATGTTTTGAAAACGGTTCATATTTGTGGAAAGGTGGATTTTTCCTGTTCCGTGGTATCCCAAGTAAAAAAGGGCTTGAAGTAGCCGGTTGTAGCGACTTTACTGTAAATGACCGCGGGTAACCCCAGATCGAACGCCCGCTCTATTCGAATGACGTCATATCGAACAAGATTCGCGGGTTTGGGGGATTCGATCTCCATAGTAGCGGATTGGGACTTTTGGGCCCAAATCTGACCATCGTGTATAGTGTCTTGCCCAGAAAAAATCTGTTTGGAGCTTAAACAGTCCTGCTAGAGGTAAACAACCTGTTGCAATAATATTAAAATAAGACAGTTTCCGGACAATTCTGGATATGTAATTCTTTGATTCTTAATCAATTTTCAATTTCATGTTGCAACTGAATATAACCAAAGAGGTTGCAAGGGAGTCTGAGGTGTCATTTCTTTGCTGCTTAAACAATGTATTTTAATTGAAATGCCAAGAAATATTTAATTCAATCTATCAACAAAAAAATGATTTAAAAAATCTATGAATATCACAATGTATAGGTGTATGGATAATAGCTTATTGTGCCATATATGATCTTTCAAGGCAACATGACAAACAAGGTGAGGACATTGCTGGTTCTTCTGCTGATCATCCTGAAGGAAACTGGACCAACCAAAGCCTGCAGCAGCAGCTGTTCATCAGACTGTGACTGCAGCAGGAGAGGCCTCACCAGTGTTCCTCAGGACCTGCCTACAGCCATCACAACGCTCAACTTGCATTGGAATGCCATTACAACAATAGAGCAATATGACTTTTTTCCATATAGGAGTTTGGAAAGATTAAATCTAGGACAGAATCAGATCTCTATGATCCATGTCAGAGCATTCCACAACTTGACCAGCTTAAACGAAATAAACCTTAGTCAGAATCAACTGACCAGTCTCTCAGCTGACATATTTGAGGGACTTGGTAATCTGCAGAGCTTGTATCTTTCCTCTAACCAATTGACCAGTCTCTCAGCTGACATATTTGAGGGACTTGGTAACCTACAGACCTTGAATCTTTACGACAACCAGTTAACAATCCTCTCAGCTGACATATTTGAGGGACTTGGTAATCTACAGACCTTGGATCTTTACTATAACCAGTTAACAAACCTCCCAGCTGACATATTTCAGGGACTTGGTAACCTTACAACCTTGACTCTTAACTCTAACCAATTGACCAGTCTCTCAGCTGATATATTTTCAGGACTTGGTAACTTACAAACCTTGGATCTTTCCTTTAGCCGATTGACCAGTCTCTCAGCTGACATTTTTGACATACTAGCTTCCATTCAATATGTTGATATTTACGACAACCGCTGGCAGTGTGACTGTAGGATGCTTCCCTTTAAGCAAAAGATGAACGGTTCTTATGCATTTGAAAACCAAATCATCTGTGCTGGACCTGGTAACCTTAGTAGGAAAAGCTTACTACGAGAGGTAAATCCTGAAGATCTGATCTGTGAACAGACGTCAACAGTCTCCTTCTCAACTGACCCATCTACTGTTGCTGAGGTTTCCACACCAACATCTTCCACAAAACTCACAGCACACATTGCTGTCACCTCACCTGACTTGTCTGCAGTAAGTACTTCCTCCCCTCTTAGTAGCACAGTAAAATCAACACCACAGGCACCAATGTCTTCCCCAACATCTAGCATAACAAACATCCCTGACACTTCGGGCTTGTCCACAGCTTCCCCTTTTGGCCAAACCGTAAAGTCAACATCACAAACACCTGTATATTCCACACTACCCATTTCCAGTATTTCTCGAAGTACAGAGTTGAGCATGACAGAAAGCAATGCTGCTCCTTCTTCTGAATTCTTCTCTCTGCCAGTCTTCCTCAGTGGTTTTCTTGGCGTAGTGGCGGGAATTTTCCTCTTGGGCATTGTTCTATTTGCAAGGTACATGTACAAGAGGAGGAACAGCAATCCTCTTGCAGACCAAAGCCCTGGTGTCGTGTTCAGCAACACAAACACCGCGACAGCTACTGTCACAATCAGTGCTCAAAACCAGACAAGGCATGGCACTTCACAAACAGATGATTCAGCAGAATATGATGACGTAGCTATTCAATCAGGAAGTTCACAGGTATGTACAGGCCACAGGCAAGATCGTTACAGTGTTGAAGGAGGTTATGAGGTACCACCCCCCTCCCTTCCCCCTAGAAATGGAGCTGGTCAGCAGGTTTACTACCAGAATGAGTCAGACTAGTTGTACAACAAGCACGTGGTGCTGATACAGCAAACCACTATGAGCCTCTGAGGTGGAACTGAACAGTGTAAAGTTAGCAGATAACCTGAATGTAATTATAGCTTGAACTTGACAGTGGGGAGAACCAGAACTGTAAACTTATAAGATTGTGTTGTCGCATACATATGTGTACATGTATGTGTAATACTGGTATCCCATCCATAGGTCCCATATACATGTTATTGTGTCCAAAGAATCATATGCAACGTCTGTTATTTCAATGCATTAGAATAGTTACGTGCCGGATACTATAGGGCTATCCTTATGACAAAATTGTATTATCATAAAAGGAATTGTTTGTAAAAAATAGACTGCAGTTTTCATACAGGTGTATGCTAGATAGGCTATAAAATGTACATGTAGTTGCACAATATTAGAAATCGCAGCAGTATAATCAAGGCCTGGATAGTGAGTGAGTGATACCATCTGTGGAGAAAGGACAACCTAGTGTTTGAAGTGACTATGTACTATAGACTTAGGAGTTATTTTCAACATTTGTTTGTGGTGATTTGGCGACAGGTTGTTCAGACATGTACATGTATCTATGCAACAACAGCTACTGTAATTATGGTGAGAAGAATTTGTTAGTAGTTTACATTGTAGATCTGTTGGGTTTTAATGACATAAAACTATAAAACTGTACAAAATCATGTAGTATGTTTATTGTGAAATTATTTTTTGTGAAAACCTGGCTTGACCTGTAAGTTTATCAGGGTTGGTAAGAATTCATTCTTCAAATGAACACTCAATTCTGTTGGCTTTGGCTTTGTTAGAAAAAGACCTTGTATCAAGTATCAGCTTAGCAACTTTTATTACACTAAACCCATTTGGTAAATAAATAGGCACTGGTATTTTCTAACGACTCCATTGTGCCAAACAAGATGCAAATAGGATATACCTAACACACCCTACAGAAAGATCAATGAGCCAGCTACAAGCTCATTCATGGTTCTTAAAAGGAAACATTGTTCAAGTTTCTTTGTATAAATAGAGGACTTGAAGGGCACTGCACAGTTGAGGTGGTGCAGTGGAAACAAGACAGTGCAACTCGTCTTAGAACTGCCAAAAATTGAGTCTGACAGTAACTGTTGATGACAGTTGGAACTACCATAAACTTTTCAAGGAAGTACATTGTACATGTAAGTACCTTTTTCTCCAATTTTCCTTCCTAATTTACTGTACT